GGCGGTCTGTAAATAATCGAGTCTGGTCCAGACAATCCAGTGATTGACATCATGAGCATCAATCCACACAATTGGGATACGATGACATGCATCAACCAAGTCAGCAAGCCTAACCACTCGATCCCGTTAGTCGCCTTTTACGGCAAGCATGGGTTGCTGAAGACCTATTCTACCCCGGATCTTCACGGGTCATATCGGCACTTTGCTTGTATGGATCTAAAGAAACATTTACTCTATTGTGAATACTTTGTATAGAATTATGTTGGGAATTACGGTACATTTTCAAACTCCTTTGACAGAGTTGATATGTTAGGTAACGAATGTGATTGATGCGATGTCATGTGTCCACAATGGTCTTTAGGACTAATTAATAATTGTCTAAGTCATCAGTAATGATTTAGAAAATATATGAGAAAATTTATGGTTCCTCATTTTTGATGTGTTGAGTGTCACGTGATGTAGACAGAGCTCCAGATAAGCCTTTGGTGTTGTGGGTATTTTACCCATGCATTTTAAAATCATTGGGTATCAGTAATTCTATCTGGGTATTCAAATTTCTGTTACCCACTAGTTTTTACACATGTGGGTATTGAAGTTAAATATTTAAAAACACTTCATCTTGTCCCTGCAAACTGGTGTCGTGTGGGTTCGAGAGCTTTATAGGACTAAAAAATACCATGATACTTCAACAAGGAAGTGTGATGGCAAATGATCATGATGTAACTGTCATCGTGGAGTTTGGCAAGGTTGACGGAATGCCCGTTTATAATTTCAAAATACGTTGCTGATTTGCTAATTGAATACGCAGGGTTACTTCACAATATTTTGATGATACGCACAAGTTTTATTTTTGTAGAGTATCTGTAATGTTCGGTGCGTATTTGATACGCTTGGATTTTATTTTACTGCGTATTTCTGCATTTCTGATGCGTATTTTATGCAGATACGCAGCTTATCTGGAGCTCTGGTAGACGTTTGAACAGTTTTTGTCAATGGTGGACGTGTGAGGTGTAACACGGGGGAAGTGAAAGTGTCTCATGCTTGTGTAGCAGAGTTAGTCGTGTGTGGCTGGATGCGCTGTCACTGTCACCCTGACAGTCTTTACATTGCGGGTGAATAGCATCGCTACTGATACAAGGAAATATTTTGAAAGTTGTTGATTATTAAAAAACAAATTGTATCTAGAATTCAACACGAGTTGGCCTGTCCACTTGCTCTATATTCAGGTGCTCTGAAATGTTTCAGTTTGTATGCTTGTCTTGTAATGCTGAAATCAGGATGGGTATATACATACAGACCTAGTTATATCGGTTAACTTTAATCAAGGACAGGGTATGTATTTGTTTCTAAAACATTCTCTAATGGACTATGACATGCATGGTTTGTATCAAGACCTGCCCAGAGTCCAGTATTAGACACCTTGGCCGTAGTTACGTTCTCAAATGGGAATTCTCAATTAAAGTATATATTTATTACTAATGTTATGGCTTGGTCAAGGTGACTTGTATTTCCCTGACAACAGGACTGACCAAAAGGAAGTGGTTCAATCTTACATTATTGCATTGAATACAATGATAAAATACCTCTGAAATGAAGAAAATATGAACTTCAATAAAATAACAGTTTTTAATTAAGTAAAACAATTTCCTTTTTGCCTGTGAAGGGCACTTAGTTTTGAATCCCTCATGAATCCTTGACATGGCTATGCTCCTCGGCGATGATTCATCGTAGTGATGTTCCACTGCTTTGATGTTTATTTGTAACCTGTTAATATGTGTTCTGAGTAGGTGTTTATGTCTTTGTGAGTCCTTTTGATATGACATGTATTCAAGTAACCCTTTGAAGTAGTATTTGCAGCCTGGTTACATGTAGCTTGAGTTTGCAAGTCTACTTTTCGTACACGGAATGTCATGCCCTGTGAAGTGGTATTCCAGATGCCGTGCCCTGTGAAGTGGTATTCCGGATGCCGTGCCCTGTTAAGTGGTATTCTGGATGCCGTGACCTGTTAAGTGGTATTCCGGATGCCGTGCCCTGTTAAGTGGTATTCCGGATGCCGTGCCCTGTGAAGTGGTATTCTGGATGCCGTGCCCTGTGAAGTGGTATTCCGGATGCCATGCCCTGTGAAGTGGTATTCCAGATGCCGTGCCCTATGAAGTGGTATTCCGGATGCCGCAGCGAGTACGCTGGATGCCGAGCCCAGTTGAGTGGTAATTGGGATGGCGTAGCGCAGTACGCTGGATGCCAAAATTTCCATGTTGAAATTATATTTTGGCTTTCTTTCTTTTTTCAAAGTGTGAAATCAATAAAATATTGAGTCCCTTGCTTATGAGTATGCATGGTCATGCATTCTAAGTGAAAATCCCAGTCTCATTTACTTGTTTTGGCTGTGTACAAGTTATGACTCAAGAGTTCTAAAGTGGATGCCAAGACAAATACAGTGGTATGCTGGATGCCTAGGGAGGAGGGAGGCTTCCCTGTGATAAATGATTTATTTCAAGTCATATACCAATTTTTGGCTAGTTGTTGAAGGATAGATGCACCTTTAGCTGTGCGCTAGACCTGAAGTGACTGTTATCATGGAGGTCGGGTGTATAGTGTAGTGACTGATCACTGCACCTTTAGCTGTGTGCTAGACCTGGCGTGACTGTTATCATGGAGGTCGGGTGTATAGTGTAGTCACTGATCACTGCACCTTTAGCTGTGTGCTAGACCTGGCGTGACTGTTATCATGGAGGTCGGGTGTATAGTGTAGTCACTGATCACTGCACCTTTAGCTGTGTGCTAGACCTGGCGTGTCTGTTATCATGGAGGTCGGGTGTATAGTGTAGTCACTGATCACTGCACCTTTAGCTGTGTGCTAGACCTGGCGTGACTGTTATCATGGAGGTCGGGTGTATAGTGTAGTCACTGATCACTGCACCTTTAGCTGTGTGCTAGACCTGGCGTGTCTGTTATCATGGAGGTCGGGTGTATAGTGTAGTCACTGATCACTGCACCTTTAGCTGTGTGCTAGACCTGGCGTGACTGTTATCATGGAGGTCGGGTGTATAGTGTAGTCACTGATCACTGCACCTTTAGCTGTGTGCTAGACCTGGCGTGTCTGTTATCATGGAGGTCGGGTGTATAGTGTAGTCACTGATCACTGCACCTTTAGCTGTGTGCTAGACCTGGTGTGTCTGTTATCATGGAGGTCGGGTGTATAGTGTAGTCACTGATCACTGCACCTTTAGCTGTGTGCTAGACCTGGCGTGACTGTTATCATGGAGGTCGGGTGTATAGTGTAGTCACTGATCACTGCACCTTTAGCTGTGTGCTAGACCTGGCGTGACTGTTATCATGGAGGTCGGGTGTATAGTGTAGTGACTGATCACTGCACCTTCACCTAAGCAGTCGCCCCCTGCTGTGATGTAACTATCTGTGGCAGATATGACAGATTACCAGATCTAGGTGATAACACTTGGACAGCCTGTCAACTCTGCCTGCTGTAGGACTTCAGGTGCACATGTGTTGCTGTGTAGCTTTATGGATTGTTTACATCTGGGACAGTCAGAGTCACTCAGGGTAGATACAGTTGTAATATATTGTTGTAAACTGTCATCATGGTCATATGTGTATATTAATACATTATGTAGATTTATGTATGTACATGTCCTGATATGAGTTTATGACAACCACTGAACTATAAACTGATGTAGATATTCTTACATTGTTGTAAACTGTTACATGTGTGTAATATAGTGTTATATTGCCATGTATGCATGTAGTAATACGATCTTGTACATCCTAGTTATAACACTATACACTCTAGCTAGTGGGATCTCGTTTGAATAACAATGATTACTGCACACAATCTATCATGATGTATGGATATGATTACTGTTTACTGTCTAATTACTGATTACTGTTATATTACTGATTACTTTCTGATTACTGTCTCAGGTTTGAATATTGATCATTAAGGAACAAATAATATTTAATGAATAATATATGTGTGAAATATGAATGATAATTGATTTTCTCTGAGATTACAAGTGTTAACTCCTATCTTTGTTATGAGGAACACAACGTTTGGAGTATGCTTACCCATGTGATTCATTCATTGTGTTCCTCATAATAAAGACATTGACATCCATAAATTCTCTCTTATGTGTATCACTTCTAAAGACCTAACCCCTATCAGTTGTGGTTTTGGGAGAACATATATCATTCTGTATTTACCTTAGTGTATGAAATTAGAAATACGGTTGTATAATCTAGGCCTTCTATTAGATATTCCAGAATGTTCTTTTGTTCAGTTTTCATGTTTTGAAACTTTGTCAAAATATTTTTCAAAAGGTCGCTAGTTTGAAACTGGTGTTGTATAGCTCAAGAAAGCTGCTTTCTTTCTGGCTGATGTCGACTTCTTGTCAGTCATTTCATTGGTCGGTCAAGGCCGTTCTGACGTGACCCAGAATGGGATGTCCTCAGATCTTTGTTTAGCGGTAGCGGGAACTAACATCTGATTTTAATGATTGTTTTGCGCTGGGTATTGACAGTAGATCCCATACTGGGCAGGCATTAGATGCACCAGGTGCTGGTCAACATCATGGGATATAGTTCTACACAACAGTAGATACGGCATATATGCTTGGTATTGACAGTAGATCCCATACCGGGCAGACAGTTCTTGCACCTGGTGCTGGTCAACATCATGGGAGAGAGTTCTACACAACAGTAGATACGGCATATATGCACCGGGTATTGACAGTAGATCCCATACCAGGCAGACAGTTTTTGCACCAGTTGCTGGTCAACATCACAGGATAGAGTTCTTAATGGTAGTAGATATGACATATATACACTGGGTATTGACAGTTGATCCTGCACTGGGGAGGCAGTAGATGCACCAGCTGCTGGGGGTCAGGCTTGACATCTGCTGCAGGACGATTAGGCTGTTTCTGTGTTAAATTATCTATTTCTCATTGTGATAGCAGTGTATACGATGGATTTTTGTTCTACAGAGACGCAACCATGAGGCAATGACAAGGTGAAGGTCATACGGAGGTGTGACAGACTTTCTGTGGCTCGATGGTTGGAGATGTCCAGCACCCCGGCTGATAAAGTGCAGGTAGCTACAACTTATAGCAATGTGATGCCACAGGGCACTAATTAACCTGTTCATGTGCCTTTGGGTTTTTAAGTGAGCTACATGAACAGCATTGTTTATCCATCTTTGAATAACTGATAATGCCTGTTTAGTTACAACCTACAGGATTATTTTGTGAATCAATCTGCCCCTTAGGTATGTTTATGTGATAATTTTACATAGGTTCATATTAAGTGATGTTTTAAATATTTTTTTCTGTTTCATGATGAAATAATATGTTTAATACATTTTCCATGTGTTGTGCAATTCACTTTTTCAAATTACATTCATCACTGGATTCATATGATCAACAGGTTTGATGAAGAAATCTTGGCCCTGTTCCACAGAGTGGTCTCAGCACTAAGGATGTTGTGACTCCCATACTTCAACATAGGCTTACAATAGTTGTATAGCTAAGATCCCTTTGTGGAACAGGACCTTGATTTCTAGGTGCCCCCTTCAGGCACCTGGAACTGACTGTAATCATGATGACTGTTCCATTGTGATTTTAACCTGCCATTGTCTCGCTAATACAGGGAATTTTGAATCCTGCACACCTTGTCTGAAACAGCAAGATTGTGAACACAAGTATTCAATCGACAGCATGCAGTGTTCAAAATTAGGGGGTTGTAGCGGTTTGATGCTATAGCGTTTAAAGTGTCCTCCAGAAGTTTCAAATATTACTATTAGCTTTCAGGTTATGATAAGGGCCCCGTGACTTTCATGCTTAATTTCAATCACTGATCATGGGTAGTTAATATTAGCGTCTCTGACCACATCAGCATCTAGTGGTGAGTAATACTTTTGACCCAAACTCTCAATGTGGTCATTGTCACTTTAAAACATTTCCACTGCATTAGGACTTGTTATTGTTATGCCTTTAAGTGAGTGACTGAGTGATGAATATTTCATGCATTGATTAAAATGAACTTTTATCAATTCAGAAAATGAGAGATGACTGATTTCATGATCGTTCCTTGGTTACAACCTGAAATCAGCCAACCCTTGATTAAATTGATCCAACAGAAAAGCCTTGCATTCCAGTTTTAACCATCATTGTTCAAGTCAATAGGCATACTGATATGAGGCTACAGTGCTTTATTGAACCATTCAAAATTCATGCTTGTTTGCAAGCCCAAGTCTACTAAATCGTGCTGAGGACAAGTGAAAATCCATTGGTGTCAGTCCTCATTAACTAGCAGCTTTTCAGGACTATAATTCTCAACTATTCCAGTTCACCACCTTTATCAATGTATTGAGTTAATGGCTTGTCATAGCGTGTTGGCTTCACAGGGGAGGAAATCTGAAATGAAACCGGTTTCAGATGTTTACCATTTCGGTGTAAAACACGAACATGGTGCTGACAAACCTAGATATGTAACCAGGGTGATTCTGGGACTCAGATCCATAATCATAGGTTTAGAGCATGTGTAAGAGACGCACAGGAAATTGTGGTGCTTCAGATCAGTGGGCCAATCATGCTCCAATTGAGTTGATGGAGTGCAAGGTTTCTCTGTATATGTGTATTATCGGAACGTGGTATAAACATCGTATCACATGTTTCTAGACTTCCCGAGCAGCAGCAGCAGCAGCAGCAGCCGTATCCCCTAGTAACACACCCTCCCCTCGGCCCCCGTCCCGGTCAGATGGGCGGAGGTTACCCAGCATTCCTTCTCCCGACACCCAGGAACTGATGTTAAGACATACAAGCCAGCACACAATGCCAGTGTCTAAAGGAACCAATGGCTATGGGCCTTTCTTCCAGGAGTATAATCTCATGGCTGAGTAGTAAGTATGAAAATACTAGAGCGAAGACGTATTACCTAGAGGGAAGACGTATTATCTAAATGGAAGACATATTACCTAGAAGGAAGACGTATTATCTAGAGGGAAGACGTATTACCTAGAGGGAAGACGTATTACCTTGAGGGAAGACATATTACCTTGGGGGAAGATGTATTACCTAGAAGGAAGACGTATTATCTAGAGGGAAGACGTATTACCTAGAGTGAAGAGATATTACCTAGAGGGAAGACGTATTACCTAGAGGGAAGACGTATTACCTTGAGGGAAGACGTATTACCTTGAGGGAAGATGTATTACCTAGAAGGAAGACGTATTATCTAGAGGGAAGACGTATTACCTAGAGTGAAGAGATATTACCTAGAGGGAAGACGTATTACCTAGAGGGAAGACGTATTACCTTGAGGGAAGACGTATTACCTTGAGGGAAGATGCATTACCTTGAGGGAAGATGTATTACCTTGAGGGAAGACATGATAGTAACGTAGTGTGATTAGTATGTACAACGTATTGACTTCATTCAAATAATTTTATACAGGTTTGGTAGCTATATCTGTAAATGATCATTCCTGCATTCAATTAAACAATCTGAAAGAGTTCATTAGCTACTGGTTAAATTTTCTGCTTTGTGAAACTTATCAATATTCACAATCAATGTTGTCATTTTCCAGCAACCAGCTATGTTCTTTGAAAGCTCCAGGGATATATGTTATGCCGTCGGCCACATCACCTCGCAGTAAGTCTAGTTGTGAGACTGTAGTCTGTAGTGATATAAAACTACACTGTAATGACCTGTGAATAGAATACCCTGCCTCACCGAGCCCTGTAGACACAGTGTCACATGCCCTGCCTCACCTAGCCCTGTAGACACAGTGTCACATGCCCTGCCCTGTCATACAGGCGAGGATAGATAGACCTGCTGGCAAACTCAGTGTGAGTGTCAAGGTTTAAACCCATGGGCTGAGACCACGGGCATAAGCTACTTGACACCCTTAATCAGCTTCTATGCATGACTCATATTCGAAAATTGCTAAATAAAATGCTATCTCTACTAAATATATTGTCCACATTCAGTGCAAAGCAAAGCATGTTGATTGTTGTTGATACAAGAGCTCAGCAAGAAATATGTGCAGGTAAAGCTAATGTGTAGCTGATCTAAGTCCATCATCCCTGTAACGTAATGGACTATGCCACTCATTCATGAAGTAAAGGTTATTCTTTCCTGTATTGACCACTAGGATGGTGTGTTGATAGTTTGTACTGAGAGATGTTGGCCCTGTGTGTTTCAGTCTGGAACGGTGTGCTGTTTATCCGGCAGGGCTTGTATCAGGAGGGTGTGTTCAGGTTCACACTCACCATCCCTGACAACTTCCCCGACACGGACTGTGACTGTCCTGTAAGTACTCTGTCTTCACTTGACCCTTGTGTAAGTTAGGGACAGACCACAGTCCCCCTGCTTGTCTCCCCTTGGAATTCAGGGACAGAAAAGGTCTGGTTACCCCTGCTTGTCTCCCCTTGGTATTCAGGGGCAGAAACGGTCTGGTTACCCCTGCTTGTCTCCCCTTGGTATTCAGGGGCAGAAAAGGTCCCTGCTTGTTTCCCCTTGGTATTCAGGGGCAGAAAAGGGCCCTGCTTGTCTCCCCTTGGTATTCAGGGGCAGAAATGGGCCCTGCTTGTCTCCCCTTGGTATTCAGGGGCAGAAATGGGCCCTGCTTGTCTCCCCTTGGTATTCAGGGGCAGAAAAGGGCCCTGCTTGTCTCCCCTTGGTATTCAGGGGCAGAAAAGGTCCCTGCTTGTCTCCCCTTGGTATTCAGGGGCAGAAAAGGGCCCTGCTTGTCTCCCCTTGGTATTCAGGGGCAGAAAAGGTCTGGTTACCCCTGCTTGTCTCCTAGCAGATCCCTTGTTCCCCATACTTGTCTCCCCATGGGGTTCCCTGAGAGATTAGTTGCCTTGTCTCACTGCACAGATTCTGAGGTAAGGATACTTTGTTCTTATTTCAGAGCGTGGTGTTTGAGTATCCTGTGTTTCATCCTTTGGTTCATCCCGTGTCTGGCCTGCTGGACGTCAAGAAGGGCTTCCCCAAGTGGAGGTAACTCACTAGCTACACAAATACTCAGGAACTTAGAACAGCAAATTGAAACTATCTTCCTGTATCTAGAAATGGGTACATTGTGATGGAAACACAATTTTTGGTCACTTCTCTGGACAAGTAGACTAAATGTCCAGATAAGTTAATTGCTGCTGTCCACATCCTAAGTGTACACATATTTTTAGGAAGGATTCATTTATACTGGTACTCACATGAAAAGGAATTGTGTGAAGCCCATTTCTGGTTTCCCCTGCCAGTATAAAGCTGGAATATTGCTAAAAGAAGCATAAAATCATACTCACTCACTTAAAGGGAATCTACTATTTATCCTGTCTACAGGTAACATACATACTGGTACATCAAACATTGTTATTTATCCTTGCTGAGTATAGTGTAGTCCAAACAGCTGCAGCTGCTATGTGAAGTGACGTTTCGATGTCATCATTGACTCCACATCAAGTTTGTTCCTGTTTCAAAGGAATCATCTCATTTCTGTTTTCGCCAAAATGCTTCTGACACTAGCGCAGAGTATGAATTGAAATCTGTTTGCTTTCTTGCTTTCTGCTCTTGGTTCTGATTTGAAGATACTCTATTTCAACAGGGGCGGTCGGGTAGCCTCGTGGTTAAAGCGTTAGCTTGTCACGCCAAAGACCCGGGTTCGATTCCCGACATGGGTACAATGTGTGAAGCCCATTTCTGGTGTCCCCAGCCGTGATATTTCTGGAATATTGCTAAAAGCGGCGTAAAACCATACTCACTCACTCACTCACTATTTCAACAGGCGCAATGTGAACCACATCTGGCAGGTTTTGCTGTATGCAAGAAGGATATTCTACAAGATCGAGACAAAGGCTCCCTTGAATCAAGAAGCAGCTGATTTGTGAGTTGTCTCCCTTTGTTCATTCCTTGTGCTCTCTGCATCAGACCCCCTGTGGAGATCCGGTTTACATTTGTCTTAAGCAACCCTTGCCTTTTGTAAGAGGTGACTAACGGGATTGGGTGGTCATGCTTGCTGACTTGATTGATGCATGTCCTCGTGTCCCAATTGTGTAGATCGTTGCTTGTGACGTCAATCACTAGATTGTCTGGTCATCATATCACTGGAATATTGCTGGGTGCGACATTAAACAACAACAAACAAATAATTAATCTGATGCCATTGTGTTGCTATAGATAGCATTGTGTTGCTATAGGTACCACCAGGACCCTGAAGGCTACAAGAAGCAGGTCGCGGAGTCTGTCAAGGCATCCAAGGAGCGGATCTATGAACCTCCAGCGTCCGATGACCCCTATGCAATACGGTAAGAGTTAATTGATGAACTTGCTGATGTAATTGTAATGATTGAGTATTATGGCACTATCAGGATGATAGGAATGGTTTTTTTCTGCTTTTTGACAAAATATGACAGTTCTGATCATATGTAGCACAATTTTTCAGCAAGTATGGAAAAGTCAATGGCAGAATTATGTTTGTTATTTTAGCTTAGATATTGTACAAAGCTATGAACAGTCGCACGTAATTCAAATCATAGACAAACATTGAATCCAACATTTATCTTACATACATATAATTACTTTTCCCACTTAGTTAGGGACTGACCACTGGATATTGTCCCAGAAATTTAAGAAAAAAAATGATATATTGTCTGCCACAAAAATTACTTTGTTGCAACGTGTTTGAAAAATAATAATCCCCCCCCCCCCACGATTATCAGATGGTCATCCCTTGTCATAGTACAGCCTAAGAGAACAAATTCAAGCCTAGGTTAGGAAGATATAAGATGGCATGTGATGTGAGATTAACTTGTAATTGACTGATGCTTACTTAAAATCAAGGGGCTGTCGGGTAGCCTAGTGGTTAAAGCGTTTGCTCGTCACACCGAAGACCTGGGGTCGATTCCCGACATGGGTACATTGTGTGAAGCCCATTTCTGGTGTCCCCTGCCGTGATATTGCTGGAATATTGCTAAAAGCGGCGTAAAACCATACTCACTCACTCACTCACTACTTAAAATCACTTCACCGCCTCCGTGGTCTCGTGGTAGAGCGTCCGCCTGGAGAGCAGAAGCTCCGGGGTTCGATCCCCGGCCGTGTCATACCAAAAGACGTTAAAAGATGGTACTTGTTACCCTGTCTGGCGCTCGGCATTAAGGGGCTAAAACAAGGACTGGTCGGCTCGGAGTCAGTATACTGTGTCTGAGTGGGGTATTCATGTTAAACTGCGGCATGGTATCTCAGTGAGCTAGCACTATAAATCAGCATCAGTCCGGACTAGTACAAGCAGCCACACAAAACACACACACGTACATGCACATCGCTATATAAGTGCAATAATCTTGGACGCGACGTTAAACCCCATTTCACCTCATCTAAAATCACTTCATTCTCTTTTGTCTCTAATAGTAGACTTATTGACACTCTTATCCTATCCAATAGTGTTGCATTAGGATATCCGAGAAGAGCAACATGTGTTTCCTTAGACCAGTGCTATCTAAATGCTGTTACAAATACCTAGTCCTGCTGTAAGTGAATCGTGTGGAATGGGGCCTTGTGAATGTGACAGTTCATTACCTCCCTTTGACTATATACTTCCATGAAAATGTGGAAATAACGTGGCATTATATTTTTCAAGGGAAAGCAATCCTGTAGATTTTCAGTATGAAAATGTCATGAAGATAGAAATAATCAAAGTTGTTTCATTAATAGAGAATTTCACCCTGCTGTCTTTTGATCAAATATGTCAACAATGAAAGTATGAATTTTTATCAAGGAGTGTTGATATATGTGATATCAAAAGACTCAAGGGTGGCATTCTATTTGTCATTCAACATCATTCTTCCAACTTGTTCCCTTTGTCAACAGTAATAACTACAGCTGACCGGCTTCTGTGGCAGAGGAGATTAGTGATGTCATTTGATTGTGATGCCATGGTAGCCAATGACATCACACTGGTCTGCAAAGCATTGTGATGCAATTTTATTGTAGAGATACCTCCTAGGAGATATCACTTGATCTCACACAAGTATCTCCTGTTGAAGCCAGTTTTGAATGATAAAATCTTTTGTTATTATTCTGATGTTAATTATTTTGTTTGAATAGAGTTTATTTGGTGATTGGTGTTGCAGCTTCAGTGAGTGGCAGCCTCTGGTCCACGAGGAGGCCCTGCAGGATATGCTGGAGTCTAAGGTATATGTAGTTCCAGGTAATCTTGCTGTGACGATGTGTTGCCCTCTTCAGCTGCCACAATCGCACAGTACCACACCTCAAGGGTTGCCGTGTCTCACACCACTCACTCACTCACTCACTCACTCACTCACTCACTCACCCAATCAACCACCCACCCACTCACTCACTCACTCACTCACTCACTCGCTCATAAAAACTGTTGGTGAGGCTGTTATATCAATGCAATGATTTAAGCTCACTCACTCACTCACAAACACTGTTGGTTTAATCTGTTATACCAATTCACTGATTTAAGCACACTCATGCACTCGCTCACTCACTCGCTCACTCACAAACACTGTTGGTTTAATCTGTTATACCAATTCACTGATATAAGCACACTCATGCACTCACTTACTCACTCACTCATAAACACTTTTTTAATCTGTTATACCAATTCACTGATTTAAGCCCACTCATGCGCTCACTCACTCACTCATAAAAACTGTTGGTGAGGCTGTTATACCAATGCAATGATTTAAGCTCACTCACTCACTCACTCACTCACTCACTCACTCACTCACTCACTCACTCTATCGCTTTGTGGAGAAGAATGATTAGCAAAGAATATTGTTCTATGCAGCTAAAGACTCATGCAGGAGAACTGCAGTTTATTGGCATAAAAAAACTCTAAATGATCTTCGTACTGGGGAGGGGAGTATGTGCCAAACATGTGACCCTGAAAGCAATGTGAAATGTATAGCAGTCACAAGTCAAGCCAAGTTCTTCCATCACCTCTTGTCTGGTCCATAGCAGGGCGATTCCAGGGAGCAGTTGTCCCCACTAGGTGTGAAGAGCTGACATCGACGGATGGTAGTGTGTGATATGCTGGATTGTAATACCACCCTCTTGTACAACACGGGGCGGTCGGGAAGCCTAGTGGTTAAAGCGTTCGCTCGTCACGCCGAAGACCCGGGTTCCAATCCCGACATGGGTACAATGTGTGAAGCCCATTTCTGGTGTCCCCCGCCGTGATATTGTTGGAATATTGCTAAAAGCGGCGTAAAACCAAACTCATTACTCACTCACTCTTTTACAACGCAGGGATTTATCTTGGTCTGCCAGTCCTTCCCAATTCCTGCATGACTAATGCTCTGGCCTTGCAGAGACTTGTATTTCACTGATGTGGACAACAAACATGATAAAGGGGAAGAGGCTTCAGTGCTTAGTTGTATTGCTTTGAATGCAGTGCTGAGAATACATTGGTAAAATACCAATCCCAATGTTGAGCCAAATAAGTATATTTTTCCAATATGTCTGCCAAGGGCACTCAGTTTGAAATCATAGAGACATCCCTGAGATCATCTGCCTGTCTAGCTGTCTAGATTAGATTGTCCACATCCCATTTTTCAGTGGTTGCCATATTGCTGACTGAGGCATTGATCAAACTTCCCTTCCTTTCCTCCCTTTCCTCCCTTCTGTTGTTCTGTATTTACTGTATAGCGATCATCATCATCATCAACATCAATCATCATCATCACCACCACCACCACCACCACCACCATCATCATCATCATCATCACTCACGCACGCCTGTCTTTGCTGTCTTTTTTACCTGTAAAAATACACTATTATTGACTATAGCAAAAATACATATATCATTTTCCATGTTGATTTATTTTGCAATATTTTCAAATATCTTCACACCGCCTCCTGTGTGATGTTCGTCAGCTTGTGTAGTCATGTGTATTGCTCACAATGGCTGCTGGGTAATGTGGCTGAAAATATTGTTCTTTCCATGGCTCTCTTCATTCTGGTAATTGGCTTGAGGGCTTGATTGTTTATCTTTTAAAAACTTATGTAATTATTGAACCGCAATGTGCTCAAGGAACATTGTGTTTTCAGTCTTTGATTACTGTCTTTCAGACAAGCCAAGGTGAAGGTCGTAGCGCCAGTCCGCCATCTTTAGGCTTGTCCTGGGTTTCCCTAGAAACAACACAAATCTTGTCCCGTGAAGACCCGGCCACAGCATAGCAGGCAGCATTTTGATTGGTGGAGAGGAGTTTGTATCATGAGCGGAGAGAATGCCTGTGATTAGCTCTAAAACTCCCAAATGATGAATCGCATGGTCTTATTAAAAAAAGGTGATTTTATTCAATGAGGATTCGGGATGTCAGACACTGGATTTGTGGATCATAGCTTGAAGAAATGCCTATGTGTCAGTCTGATGCATGTAACATTGCCATGGCGATGGTGAGCATCAGTGACCATCATGGTTCTTGACAATAAGTTTAAACATTTCAACACCAGCAATGAGGAAGCAAGACAATTTCGACTTCGTAGAAGATGCACTATTCAGATTGTGGTCACTGCCATTTTGGGGTTTTTCAAACATTTTGAAAAGCACATTTGAATGATGATATATTCCTTCGTGTATGATTCCTCTCACTTGAAAGAGAAGTTGAAACGTTAACCAAGATGCCATACCCAACTCAAGAGGACCAACTCGTCCAATGAACTCTTGACTTCAGTGTCGAGAACTTAATATCATTACAGAAAGTCATGGAAAACAATATTTGGATTCATATTGAGAATCTTTTATTCAATCGCATTTTGTACAAAAACACTTCTGCAATATTTATGTGCTATGTTCTAAACTACAAACTTTAAATGTCAACAATATATAGGCTTGGTTCTCATATGGCAACATTTCTTGTTTACAACAGACAATATTCTGAAACCATGATATATTTAATCTTTTCAACAAAACAAGTAGGCCATCCTCCCATACACTTTTATTCAAATATGAAAACCCAACTGTTTTTATTTGATCATCCTTACTAGCAATATACATCATTTTTAGTTGCATGTTGTTTGTTGGGGCTTTGCGTGAATATGGTCAGTTATTGGACTGACGAACCTGTACCTGATGACAGCCCTCGCTTGGGCTTGTTGGCCTTTTAGTTTCCTGTGTGTGATGACAAACTTTGAGTTGCATTTTCATGACTGTTTTAGAGTTGAGCTTGACTTGTTTGCACCCACTTTGTAACAGGACCAACACTAGTGAATTGGCAGATGTGTTCAACTAACCACTCGTGGGCTCCGTCTGACACGAGTTACGTGTAGTGGTGTATGGGAGTTTAAGAGTTGAATCGACTTGCACACCACAAGACCGAGGGTGGAGAGGGCTACACGGAACTTGAACCTCTTAGATCCAGTACAACCAACTATTGACTAAAATGAGATATTTATCATTACAATTTTATGAGATCCAAAATTCTTGGTGAAGTGTTCTTGTGGAATAAGTAGATGAAAACCAAGAGTTAAAGTGACGTCACCATCAAACTATAGCAGGCTTGGTTTTGTAAGAGAGGGACAAGCTGATCAGCTAGATGTATGACCATTAATGATAAACATTGACACTGTGAAACAGGACTCTTGTTCAAATATCAAATCTTTTCAGTACATTTAATCAGTAGATTTAATTGATAATGGATCACATTGATCCTACTTGGAATCCCCATGGATAAAGTTAAAGAGTAGGCCCTTTACTTCATCACTTTTCTCCTGTGTCATTTGATCACCTTCAAGATCTGTCTTCAAGGTCATGAAGGGGTCAGTGCAGAAGAGGTGAAGTAGACGAAAATAGGAATGAAATTTTAACATCTGTACAAGTCACTGCCACTGGACAATGTAACAAGTTATTTTGATCCTAAATAGTAGTTTTCCATTGTATTTTACAGCATCTTTTATTCAGTGATCATATATGTACCCCTGGATTTATGGTTAATTTGGTGAAGTTTCCTACCCTAAAAATATTACAAGTAGAAAACTGGAAAGAGTAAAGCCCACAAGTCTTGTCCCAATAAGATTCCTGTGTCTTGGATGCTGAAGACAAAGAGTATGCAGCAGTTCATGATCAGAACAAGTGGATTTCTGTGATGGGCCCAGGTTGGAGGGTATTGTTTCCTTGCTGAATTAACATGTGTGATTGTGAATGAATGTTGGGTGTAGAGGCTGTATAGATAGAGCTTACACGGTGTGGTGGGGTGGAGTGGGAGTGTCCAGCCAGTTGCTGACAGGCATGTGCAGATGAAGTCTCAACAGACTGAACACTAGTACTTGGTGGCATGGGTGGCCCAGTTGTCTAAGGCACCATGGTTTGCTGTGCAGACTTGCGTCCCTTAGGACATGCCAGAAACTTAAGATCACATGTTCGAATCCCAGATTCACTTAAGTTTCAAGGTTTTTCTGAATCAAATCCGTGCTCGTGGGATTCACCAAAGTGGTAAACATCAAAGATCTATATCACTTTGGGCTTTCCTCCCACATCAAGCTGAGGTGCTATTGTGCATGAAATACTGTTAAAGTAATGATAGTATTGTATAAAGATGAAGCTTCATGTTTTAACTACTTTGGAAGCTTTACGATACTATGGATGCGAAACGAGAAATGGCACTAAACATGACAATGTTGCCCCATCCCCAAACATCTAGTCCTGTGGTTGGAGTGATCCGCTGTACATCGAGATTATTGTTGCGTCTAGAGGGAATATCTATGCATAGGAATATTGTAGGTGCCTTTATTCAAGTCGTGTTAATTGTGTGGATGCAATGTCCAGTTGTAGGGCATCTCAGGGCTCCAGTCACTTATCCTTTCCCGGAATCGTCATGGAGACAAATAAGACCAGTACAGGAATCCTTCACTGTAGGAAATGTTTCACAGACAGGGATGACAAGTTGGTCTTACACACTGATAGGGCCCAGTTGTCCCTGGCACTGCAATGTGTTGTACAGAGTTGCATCCCTTAGAAACCTGTGATTGTGAGTTCGAATCCCAGATTATCCCTGATAATGTTTCAAGGTTTGACTCGACATACCCATGTTCATGGTAAAGTGTGAAACTTCTAAGACCTGCATCACTTCAATCTTTCCTCCCAAATCAAGGTACATGCCTTGATATGACTGAAATACTGTTGAAAGGAGTGCTAAGCCAAACCGAACTCACTCACTCACTGATGGGATGCTAGCCCCCTGTATAGGGCTGTGAGTGTTTCACTATGTCCAGAGTAATGCTTCCTCGAATGATTGGAATCAAATACTCTCAAATGAGGTATTCTTGGATCCTAAAATTAATCTTTGGTCATGTAGTTTCTAACAATTATGGGAAAGATAATTGAATGCTGGGTGCCCTGATCCTGATCCTGTAAATAGCTCATGCAGTTGTTGGCACAATAGCAATATGCCCAGTGTTGTAATGTGCTGTGTGTACGAGAATGAGTGGTGATGGCTTCAAGATATGCACAGCAAGGGTCAGTTTGTACTGAAATGCAATGTTATTTGGTTTAGGGGAAGTAATATTTATTGAGTATCAAATATGAAAAGGATTCTTTGGACTTTTGTGTAGTTTCATGACTGAGCTCAGATATGAGGCTAATTGTATGCAGCTTGTAATGTATGGAGAGCTTTCTCTAGCAATAGATTGAGTGTTAAATAATTAGAATGGCATTGTCAGTAAAAATCAACACAGACTGCTTATTTTAATATTCATGTACCTAAATGCAATTAATGCACAACTTCTCATTGAAGGTACATACACCAGATAAACTTTTTATGTCATTTCATAAAAAAGTATGTTTTTTTCAATGAATGCTTATAAAAACGAATGGTTCTGCTCCTTTAAAACTTTCAAGCCTGTCTTGTACAAAGAGAAATATTTGGTGAAGGATGTGTAATTTTTACTGTTTAATTTATACATTTGTTTGATGGAAAAGCATGTTATTTTCATATTTGACACGTTTCATATTCCATCGTCTATCACCATTAACATGTGAACCATTGTGAATAAAGATACCTTACATGAGGACTATGTTTCTTGTGATGTGAACTGTGATTACTCTGAGGATGACCCAATGATTGCAGTAACCATCAAGTGTTAAATGGTGCTCAATCCTCTATGGTTGACTGTGTGGCTCATATATAGTGGAGCACTGAAGGAAGAGCATTTGTGTGTCAGAACTTGGCTGTAAGGGGACAATATGTTCACACTGTTACCATATATATACACACACCAACAACCATTGATTTGTCCGCTGTAGGCCATGGTACACCCATTCCCACAGACTTCCAGGAAGGATCGAAAATGCTGCTGATTGGTGCTTAGGACCCAGTGAAATATCGGAAATGTTAGTGTAGTCAGCAATGTTCCAGCTGTACCACTGTGATGGATTCGGACAGTATTGAGAGTTGAGACCAAGTTTAGACCAGTTAAATTCAGGAAGATAAGTGGATTTCCTTTTGGACCATTTGGTAGATGGCAACTAGAATATCCTGTTAATAATAACGATGGCCTGCAAATGATGCACAAAGCATGATACACCACCAGGGAGCCATTGTACAAAGTGATCTTAGCAGAACTCCAAAACGTAGACTTACGACAGTCGTAGCGCTGAGGCTGTTTTGTACAACGGCACAAAGCATGACACACCATCTCATCAGTAAGCTCTTGCGATACAAGCATGGAGTATTCCATCAACAGTACATATTTGAAAAGACCAAGGCTGATATTAAAGCTTTGCTTTATTCCAATGATAAATGTTTATATACATACATGAGGGTGTAGAGGGGACATTAGATATGCAGCGGGTGTACTGGAAGGCAGACCGACAGACTGGCAACTGAGGTATTGGCAACATAAAATTTGAGATCATTGTGGAACAGTGGAACTAGAATGCATGCTCCAGCGGACAGCACAAACGGAAGGCAAGCACACAGACTGTTTTGACAAACTACCTCTTCCTGACATGGAGTTGAGCAAACACGAGCCATTGCCACTTATTATGAAGATACACTGTATCATAATATGTTTGCATACGGAAATAAATAAAAAATATTATTGAAATTACAACATATTTGAGTAGACACAGTAACTTGATGACTGCTTGGGCCTTTATCAAATAACTTGGCCTTTCTTGGAACATCATCTTCTACTGTTCAATCATCAACCTGAGAAACTGGTGTAGTAGAGGAGGCATTCCTGCTTCACATTGCAGCCACTGCTTCACATTGCAGTCAGGTCCTCTCAACAAAGCTGTCAAAACTGTAAGCTTACTTGTTACAGGAAATGTCTCCATGAACTACGAATGCTTTTAATATACCCTTCAAATAAAGCCTCAAGTCACAGAAGCAGCAATTTCCAAGTACTACAGAGTACACTACCATGTTTTGATGTTCACATGTTGATCCCTTGAGGCAAAGTCTTCATTATCTGATAAATGTGCCAAATCACAGAGGTGCCTATTCATATATACCGGTAACTTCATACAAAACATCATGCATGCTGCAAAAATTCATTAGGGTCAGAGTAACTTAATTACAAGAATTTCATCCAATGTTTGTTTCCAACTATAATATTTTTTCTTGAAAGTGACCCTGACATTCCAGGTCAAACCTTTCTGCAGTTACAGAAGGAAACGATAAAAAGTGTCTTCATAAAGTAAGATGGGGGTTTTGAAATCAGAAAAGCAGGAACAAAGTCTCATAATTAAGTATGGCCTTCTGTTTTTCTATCATATAGCACATATCCAATTTTTGCATCACATTATGTCCACTCATTAAATCTTTCTTCAGGAAATCAAAAACTAAATTCACATATGAGGAGGAGAATTTATGGATGTCAACTTCATTATAATGAGGAACACAACGTTTCGTAGTATATGCTTACTTCTTCAATCACCTAATAAGGAAGTTGACATCCATAAATTCTCCTCCATATGTGTATCACTTCTTAATGCCTTTCATAGACTTAAATTCACATAGTATGCCACCTTTTCAGACAGGTAGGTAAATTAATCAATCTCATAAATCTCTGATTTGATACCTCTACTGGTCAAGATTAGAAACAAGAGGGTGTACAAAATATCTACAATATAACGGTGAAAACTTTTATTACTTCCATTTGGAACAGCCTGTTTATGTTCATTTTTTTCACAAAAGGCTGCTCTGAATACTCTGCTCACTCATACAGAGAATGTAGAAGCCTAGATGCTGATTAGTTGAACTGGAGAGTTGTCAGATCACCATGCAGAGAGGTATCCTATCCAAGTAAAATGTCTGATTTCAATGAGAATAATTAATAACTATCCTAAATTTGATGATCATTTTCATGCCAATAACCTTATCTTAATGATGTCACTGCGCTATTATGATAAAATATGCGCATGTTCACTCAAATTATTTTTTTCTCTTTGTTACATACATGTACACAATTCTTCCATGCAAAACATTACAAGTGTTAAAGTTGCACTGTCTGCAAATAGTCCCTGACTAGGCTGGAATGGCTGTTCCATGTGCCCTGTTTGATGATACATATCCATTATTGGGGCAATAACTTGGCCCCAACAACCAAATCCTCCAGTTCCGGGCTTGTGTGATAGATGACTGTGATATAAACAGCAGCACCAACCTAAGAGGAATACATTACCTTTGACAAACTGAGTGTGTCTTTCCCCTGTGTTACACAGTTTAAAATAAACTAGAATATGTGTGACCATTGATTACCCAGGAAATTCTGGTTATGTCACATTAACCTGTAAACAGTCACACAGGTGAACTTACTTCCTATCCACAGTGAAGGAGGTACAATCTAGTAGTTGAAACATACATGATACAAAAAAAAACCTCATTATTGTCAAACAAAGCCAGATCAATTCCTGTTCTTGTTTTAAAATAGAACCCAAAAATATATAATGCTGTGTTTGATGAAAATGTTTTGCATTTTTATCAGACATATTTTCTTTCAGAAAATTTACCTCAATTCAACCTTGACAACATGTTATGTGTATTTTGCCATCAAGCTTTGGTATAATGACCAAAAAAACAAGAAATTACACTGGCCTGGACTTACATAGAAACAGATCTGCTAAACCTTGACAATTCAGTATACTAATCCATGCATGTCAGATTAAGATGTCTTTGGTAAGAAAGGGATACAGGTTATAATGACTTGATGACATTACACATTGTGATAAGAGAATGTGGTTACACGATGAAGACAGGACAAATAGAAGACTGAATGACCACGTTGACCATGAGAGTCATTACAAGTCCAGAGTAACTACTGTCAATGCCAGTTATGAACCATGTGACATCAACAGTGATCAGTATATGCAGGTAACAGTTTATCCTCTCCCATCGACATGACAATGAAAGGTGACTAATGTATTCATACAAAATAGTACAATTTGTTTTACCCCTTTTCATATACCTCCACCCTAAGACTAGAAGAGATAACATGGAAAAGAAACGCCCTAGGTGCCCAATATGCCAATTGCCTTGAAACCCTTGTATGTATAAGAGTGGTAGAATTGTAGTCATTGGTAATATGTAAGTTGAAAATGAAATTCTCCCAAGTGTTCTATGTAAAGTCAATGTAACAAAAATAATTTCCACTACTTCACTACAGTAAACTAGGGTTATAACAAACTCAAAGGAACTACTAATTTTAGTTCGTTATAACCGTAGTTTGTTATAAGTACATATACAGCATGACTACAGCAAGTAGTCGGGACCAAAAAGTAAGTTCGTTATATCCGTCAGTTCGTTATAAGCGTGTTCGTTATAACCGGAGTTTACTGTACTTCCGAAACAATTTCCCTCATTTTTGCAAATACATGTATGCTATTTAAAGAAAGTGAAAGAACCCCTGAATCTTTCATATTACTATAGGTTGTAATATGATAGAAAGAATCGGGGGTTCTTTAACTTGTATTTGCAAAATGAGGGAATTGTTTCAGGAATAATATCTTAGAAAGTATCTTTGGTTCACTGAACCTTAAAACAAACGACCCTCAGGAGAATTTATGTTTGCAAAATTGCTTTTGTGATATACTGTGTGAAGTGTAATGAGAGCTGACTATGAATATTTCACGGTCTGACAGCTGTACTTTAGATGTTCGTGTATGTCAGTGTTTGAAAACACAAATTCTCTTTCCACACAAAATCTTGGATATTAGAATTACAAATAATACCTGAACAGAAATGTTTTGTTTGTGTTTTAGAATCTAAATCATATTAACAAGGTATAGTATGAATAACTACATGTATATGAATTGAATATTCTTGTTCAGAGATATTTGTGGATGTTTAAGACACTCACAAAAATTGATTGTACTACAAGGGTATATGGAAAAACAGCTCTAACATTACAACAAACTGTTACCAGTATCATATCCCTGTTCAGGGCCCACAAGAACCACAGCTCCGCCCAAACTGTGAACATGCAACACTTTTCATATCGCCTCTGACTCATCATCACAAAATATAACTTTTTTGTACAAAGATTTCAGAAATCCACATGGTAAGAAAACAAATCATTGGCCATGAAAAGTAGAATTTCAATCACCTGAAGGCTGTAAGCCTACATGCACAATATAATGGTCAATCTAGTAGGAAATAATCTCATTGAAATGGCAATTTCAAAACACAATTTTTCAAAATCTTCCCAATAGTTCCTTTCATCACACTTGCATAGTTCCTTAGTCATTATATGCTCACTCTCTCTCTCTCTCCCTTGCTTTCTCTCTCTCTCTCCCTCGCTTTCTCTCTCTCTCTCTCTCTCTCTCCAGCCTACAACAGACTGCAAACATTATGTACATTAAAAACACATGCTATCCTATAACAAGTGAATACAGAAGTGATATCAAGAAATAAAGGGAAATCTGACTAAGGTTTTATGTGTTTCACTGTACAGACATTGCTCAGTGAAACTTTACACTTTAATTTCACATCATAGTCAAGACACAGGAAAATAAAGTTAATTTGACAATGCTTTCTTTCGTCAAGAACAGCTATTATTTGGCACAAGATGTACAAAATACGGGTTAAATATTTTTATTTCTAAATCTATACTTCAGAAATACAAAAAATATAACATTTAACTTTTAAAACTTTTGATAATACCGAGTAATCGTACATTTAACATATTTTTCATGCAATAAGTTTCAACGTCTGTCTTGATAAACATAAAACCTTAATAAGATCAAGCAGTGAAACATGTCCGATCACAAGAGAAAGATCTTAGCAAGAGAAAAGGCTCATGCAAAGTAACACAATCAAAAAGTTTTCATTAATCCTACATAACAGCTGAACAATAAAACTCACAGATATGCTTTGAAAAATTTGATAAGTTAAAATCAATTGTTCATATAAAATGTACCAAATTAATTATTTGTTCATTATCAAGTATCAGTACCACAAGGATAAAATTCAAACACAGCGAACATCCCTGCTACCTCTCGACAACTGCCAAACTCCCATCCATGAAACAATACACAACTGGAACCAGTTCCACAAAGTGATCTTAGCGCTGAGGTGATCGCAACTCCCATACTATAACCCAGACTTACGACAGTCGTAGCACTAAGATTTCTTTGAAGGACAGGCAATGAGAAAGAGACGTTCTATACAATGTTTGTTCTATGCAACTAAAAAACGTTAAGGACCCGATTCTTTCATATTACGACAGTTTATCTGTCATGAGTAGTATTAATAGGTGGGAAGCTGTGGGGATGGAAGTCTAGCAGTTTCATGAGTAACAGTATCATTGTATAGAAGACCACACTGCCTCACAACACGGCCTGTACAGACTGCTCATGGATTGTGCTTCCTGTATTTACAAAGACAAATGCACTGGAAAAAACATCCCATTGACATACATAATACAAGTTATTCATAAAAAACTCAGTTCCCTGTGTGATCAAGGACAATGTAGTGACGCTAGCTACAGTGTTATTTATGTAATACTTGTCCCAGACAGGGACGTAACGGGCGTACACTGTTCACAACGTACAGTAGTTCAGGGCATTCATAATGCTAATATGTACATACATACTACAGAAACTCATTTGTCAGGGAAATTCTACAACTGCAATACTTGAATCATTAACTTTGAATCAGAAAAATGGAATATCAATAACTCTGATTCCTACACTGAAGAGAAATCACATAAACACCACATTGTCTTACTGACACGCAAGACCTATTCTTTCAAAAATGTCAACTGTTTCTTAAAATGACACCTGATACAAGACTTGTTGTCAAGATACTTCACATTTCAACATGATACATAACCAGATACAACACATAGTATCATATACACTATAACAATTATACACCTGGAAAATGGGTACGCACCACTCCATTATATTCCTAAATCCTCAAGTTTCAGGATCTTCCTGAAGTCTCTACATTAGAGTTTGGTCTTTTGATACATTTCTGAAATACCACTGCTACCTGCTGAAAGATATGAGACAAAGCAGCAGAGGTGAAAGGGAGGCAATCACTGTTGTCCGTAGATTTTGTATTTCTGCTCTGAATGTCAATAGGAGCATGTCACTATGAAAACAAAAACGAATGTGTCATCAGAAAATTTATAAAGGTATTATTATAAATAATCAGTGCTCATCTCCAGGTGAATATTTGTGGTCAAGGACATTTAGATGGTTACAAACAGTCTGGCATGTTTCTCCATTTGAAATGCAAGTACAGAAGGCAATGTTTGTATAGCCCTCATCACAATGGTGTATCATGTCAGTATCATGATACAGATCTGTATCCTTCCCAGAAAGAAGGTAGCATACCCTGACAGACACAGCATCTGGAAGCTGCTGTAAGCCACTGTATATTCTAACTTACACTACACATCTCGATTATCTTGTGTTTTATACTTCCAATCTAGTATGATAAATGCATGGACCCACTCGCCATCCCAATTTGCTTGACTCCAATTCAAATGACAATACCAAAAATAGCCATCCAATTAAATTACACCGTTCTTTCGTGGCTAACACAATGGCAATATCACCCAAATTTGTCTCGACTTTTGTGTGTCATCATATACATGACTGGAACATCTTGTAGCATGCGGACTTCTCTGTGTTATACCAGTCTTGTGATCATGATAAAGGAGCTGGTGATGGCACTTCCAAACAGAAGCAGTGCTGGCAAGTGGGTCCAGGGTGTACTTCATAAAGGAATGGGAGAAATGACACACTGGATAAATCAGGGCTGACACGACTGGTTCCACCTTACACTCATCACAATCATCTCTAAAAATATACACCTTTGTATCACATTTCTGTATTAAGTGCAAACCCCGAGGCAAGCTCAACTTTAGTATCTCACAAAGTAATATTTCCTGTTTAAAATGACCACATCAGTTCTCCATACAGCTTCTCTGTATCAATTCAAAACATTTTCCTTACATACAACATCCTGTATACAACTACAGATAGCATATTTTGTTGACCGTGTTTTGTAAGTAGACACAGAGAGATCCTAATAGTTCTGCTGCCACCATGTTTGTCCCACCGTATTTCCTTACCATTATTATACCCCAAATTATTTTTATCTTAATTACTGCTGTTCATACTCAAACACAGCTTACCTTACAAAAATAGTGATTCAGGAAAAATTGTGGCAAGATTTAAGTCACTTCTCTTTGAAATGAACAGCATACTTCTGTGTTACCAAAATATATGTGAAACTTATTTGATATTTATTAAAACAAAAATCTCCCATCTGACTAATTTACAAATCAAAGGGATAAGTGCAACAATCATGGAAACTAAAGCTCTACTACCCATCATACAGAGTAATCTCAGCAATACTTCCTTCCACTAACTTATGACATTCAGATTCCCGACTTGATTATGCCAATGACCTCAGTTTATTGTTTGCAATACTTACAGGCTTTCCCTGTGTTAAACATTCAAATATACAGTTAGTTTGTACACAACTGTTAACACATATGTACAGACACATAGGACAACATACAAGTATATTCAAGCACTACCCTCGTCCCAATTACCACAGCTTACTGTTGTCAGCTTGGGTTACCTGAACATTCTATATCTTTCTTTCAATAAATAACAGCATTTTCACTTTTCAGCCTCATTTACACTGATTATCTAGAATTTCAACTCAATTCCATTCAACACAATAAAGCAACGAGAGCAGTATCTTTTTCATCAAAGTGTCAAAATTTTTCCCTCGAAGAAGCCAAAATAATTCTGAAGCATGGAACTCATTCACACTTGGGCTATTGCTACAGTAGGAATCATCCAAGACTTGGGGTTTGTGGAAGGGGTCAGGGTTGAACTACTTATTTTCATAACACTCATCTCATCTATTTCTATTTTTTATATACTCATTAATCTTCTGTTCAAACGTTAGCATAGCACTTGTATGACTGAATTTATCACATCAACACTGACAATTCCATATAAAAAGGCAACTATCATATAAAATAGAGATTAAAACTATAACCAGACACAAAATTTTTAAAACACACGGACACACATCTTTTTCTCCTATCCCACTAAAATGATTAACTGCATCTAAAAGAACAGCCAGACACATGGGTTAAAATCGGGGGTGAACCGTAGCCTGAAAGTCTGAGAGCCCAACCTAAATAAGAGATATTCATTGGGCTGGTGTCAATTCTTTTTCCCAAGAATGCTTCTCTAAATGCTATCACTATTTGGTTGTACATGTACTAACAGTTCTGTAAAGTTCAACCCCTTAAAAGTGCCATATGCTTGGAGCATGGTTAAAAATGACCATTTTCATAAAACATTGATATCATTTATGTATCAAGAAAATTAGGTTGTGAAAAAGAACACATTCAAAATGGGGAAAACTATCAACTGATAACACACAGATAACAATTAATTATCATTTGGTAAAGGGATAATCTGCCAGAAAAACAGCATTAGCTTCGCAGAGACATAACGGCTGCTGTGCATCATCAATGGGATACTGAAACTCCAACTCATCACCAACTCAGTCAGTTCTTCAAAGAATTCAATCCAAGAACAAACCTGCATCAAACAGCAAACTCAACAGGTCACTCCCAACAATATGAAAGCACACCAACCATCTAAAAAACTCCCTTGTTATGTCAGTTTCCATCACATCTTGTACATCAATTCCCACTCGATGTGAAAGGCCATCAATGTACAATATCATTCTGCAGACCGCAGACTCTCTGTCTTGGGGTCCATCTGTCCAAACAATCTCAGTTACTTCGACTCATGATGCGATATTTTGAAACAAACTGGTCTTGGCATGGCCACAAGGCCTTACGATAACACTGAATGTCCATGGTTGTAGGACTGAGATAACTGTCACTAGACTGCATCAAGCTTGCTGGTACCCCGTCAAAGTAACAATCCTCTCATCACTTGTCATCATCCAACTTGCTATTCCAATGCTGATAGCATAGCCATGAAGGTGAACAGTCTGTTTAGTACTATACTCATCAATACCACCCCCTGTGATGTCTCAAGACACTGTAGATAATAATCACAGTCTTGCCAAAATGTCTTCATTCACATTTGCTGTACAAGTTCAAACATCCCACTGGCTGTTTAACTGGGAATTGCGTAGAATGTTCAATACCACTTCTATAATTGTCTGGCTTCTGAACACTCCATCCATGTTTTTTTCTCCTCCAGCACAGCTTCCAAACAATTTTTTTTCCACATGCATCTTGTTTCGTCTGCTTGCTGTAAGAGTTCTAGCATCACAGTGATCAAACCTGCTACATTTTGTCCAATCAGGTCAATATCTCCCATGACTTCTTGACACTGACATCAAGTTCAGGTCTAGACTGCTACACTTCACAACTTGACTACAACAGTCATTAAACTAAGTTAAACTAAGTGTCACATCTTGATTGATATACCTCCCTACATGGAGGGGCCAGGACTGTCTCTACTATACCAGACATGGAACATCAATCCTGTGGGTGTCCTTTGTTCAAGCTATCAACTCTGCTAGACACTGACCAATACAGGCATCTGTGATACATATTTTATGCTCTGATATTCTGCCAATGCTCAGTGGATATTATCAGATAAAATACGTAAGATTTGATGAAAGAATAGAGTTTGTAGGGTAGTTGCACTTGAAGACAGAAAGGATGGAATAAGGATGAAAGTCTGGCTGATCTAGCAATTACACCATTACTGATGATAATATATCAGGAACTTGGTTGATGAAAATTTCACAAACATGACTAGAAGTCAGAACAGATCGATTGATGTCTTGTGTCAGTGGTGTTTGGTTACATTTTCAATATCTGTGCGTCACTGAAAGACTCAATGCCCAGAATGAATTAATAATTGCCATGCCACAAAAGAAGTGACTGATTAAAGTCCCGTGGAAATGAGGTTGGGTGACAACAGAGCAAGGAAGGCTTCCTATTACAGGCACATGGAGTGTCAGAGCTCCCCTACCTACACTGTGGTAGCAACATCACCAACAGTGTCAGCAATGTAAGAAGCGTAGACATAAATACATTCATCAAATCATATACCAGTATATAGATCCATATGCTTCCTCTACTTGACGAGGCAAACATTCATCATCATCACAAACTCTGGAATGGGAAACCCATTGTTGGTAATTATTGTCAAGTTTCATACATAACTTGGATATTGTACAGAAGGGAACAACTTCCTTGAGAATTGGGAAACATACTAAGATGTAATATAACATGTCCATGGGTACTAAGATGACACTTCCCATGATCCTGTAATCTCAAAAGATAAATGACATGCAAGAGTTATGTCCCCTGCCAGGTCAGAGGTCACATTTGTTGCACCCTCCTTGGCTTCCTGACATGGCAAGGTGTGGCGACACAGGTGTCACTTGGTGTCCACTATGACAGAACCGTTGCTGGTATGTGTTGGGTTCGGAGTCTGGTCCACAAGCATCTGGATGTACGTCGTGGTGCCATCAAGAGGCAGACAATGTCTCCCGGGCTGCTGAGGGTTTATACAAGGTGAGAGAGGCTATATGCTGGTTCTGCATCACCTGTGGAGGAATCGTTACCACATGTTTACCAGTCAATTTCATGTCCTCATGAACTACGAGGATTAAATGACCCTGAGAACTGTAGCTAGTGTATGAATGGTTTATTTTTGACTATCGGAAACTGTATAAGTAAACTTGTCACAGACAGAATGATCCACATTCAAACTTAACACTTGCTCTGTGTTTCATTTGTGTGCTGTTGTCACATTACGATCTTCTCATGTTAGTTAGGGATGGGATCAGTCCAAATTTATTACCCGGGTACCCGACGCCCTATTACCCGACCCTACCAGTTACCCACTGTAGGTCTCAAGAGATAGGTACAAAATGTCTTATTGGGAATTGTTTTACTGGAACCCTGGCAAAAAGTATTGAGATAAATGTATAAAACAATCAGATGATGCATACACCAAACTTGACTGAAACTTTATCTTTACTCAAACATATAAAAGTCAGGAAAGAGTGCAGAGTCAGAAAGAAAGGCAAACTGTAGTGTAACCATGGAGCTTGATTATTGTCATTAAACAATATATCGCATGACCATCTGACCATGTACCCAAGTTACCTGTCCCAGCCCTAGTTTCAACCCCGAAAAGGGCCGGTCAGGTAGTCTAGTGGTTAAAGTGTTCGCTCGTCACGCCGACGACCCGGGTTCGATTCCCGACATTGGTACAATGTGTGATGCCCATTTCTGGTGTCCCCTGCCGTGATATCGCTGGAATATTGCTAAAAGCGGCGTAAAAACCATACTCACTCACTCACTCAACCCCCAAAAAGTAATAGCATCCATTTATCAAAATCATGCTGCTTTTTTTATGAATGAATTTGGCAGACTATCCAGTATTGATACTATCAGCAACGTCCCTTGTATGACCAACATGGGTTGCTGGTATCTATTCTAACCTGTAATCACCACGGGGTGAGTAGAGTAAACATGTAGAGTAAACATGAGGAGTACTTCAATACACATGGAAAAAGGGTCGACTAGTCAAAGAAAGACAGCAGTGAGTTACATACCCCTTACAGCAGAATACACTTACCCCTGCTAAATTACTTTCTTTCTTTGTCAATTTGAATTTCTATTTTATTAAAACTATCATGTTATTGATATAGTAAGAATGTAAGGGAGAAGTTGGTTGATTTTCCGTTAGTCTGCAATCTCGAACCAATCTGATTATACAAACAACAAAGTAAATTCATCTGGAAAACATGGTCAGTCTTAAACCTTTTCAAAATTCGATATGATGGCATTCTCAAAGACATATACAAAAGTATGAACATTACTACATTTGGGGTTAGAGGCCAAATTTCAAGATTCTTGTAATGGCTGCACCCACACTGGTGGCAGCGATGTTACCGAGAGTGTAATGAAGGTGTCACACGCTGGGAAGGAGTTTGGGGGGTTGGGTACCTGTGTGGTAATTTTGGTCTCATCCCAGCCCTACATCCTTGCTACTTTATGTATCAACAAGCATGGATAGCAATGTCTGATTTGACACCAAGTGTTAGAAGTGAAGGACATAGTCCATGCAAGGCCGTAGTTAACTTTTTTTGACAGGGGAGGCAAATAAGATTATTCATTTCTTATTCAAGTTAACTTTCACAAGGAAAAATGTTTTCTATAAAAAATCCAGGGGGGCAACTGCCCCCCCCCCCCCCCCCCCCCGGCTGGCTACGGCACTGCCATAGCCCCTGTCAGGGATGGAAAGTAACCTAGAACTTATACTAGCCCGAATAGTGATGATAATTAGCCCGACTTATGACAATACTCCCCAAAATGTTTGAAATTCTACAAGCCCATAGGCTACCTCTAACATTAACAAAACTGGTACGGGCTAGAGGTTATGTCCAGCCCCGCCTGTACACTGTCCGTGACAGCCTGCTCACCTCAAATATCATATCTTGCACGCCATAACAGAATGTTGAGCCAAATGGATTGCTGGTGTTGGTGGAGGAGGAACGGTTGAGGATGACAGGCCGCTCATCTGCCTTCAGCAAGGAGGACTGTACATCATTCCACTGAAACACAACACAGATGGTCACTTCCTGTCTCCTGCCATGTTTGTTTGTCATCTAACCCTGCACACAGCTGTATTCAAGCCATATGACAGCAGCCTGTAATAATTGAGTCTCACCAGACAATCCAGTGATTATTATTATGAGCAATGTCCCAAACTGTCGAGTATGACGACACCAATCACGCAAGCCACGGAGTGACCACCTGATCCATGTAATTGTCTCTTATGACAAGCACAGGTTGCTGTCAAACTGATGACCAGACAGGCCTTATAATTACTTGAAGGTTGTCTATATTAGGATTACCTTTAACGATTGACTTTAACTTGACCTAAAACGTTTCATTCATACAATTCTGGTAATGTTCTTATTCAAGTTTTAAAACCGAGGATTGGACTGTAATAATACAGAAAGATCTATCCAGAGACCATATACTGATCCAATACCACCACATCTACACAGCAATGACCTAGATTGACATAGGCACAAGACCATGCATCATGTTCTGTTTTACAGGTTGTTCTAGAAGTGTCTGTTCTTTTTAAGCATTAAGTGTTTTTTATTTAAGGCCTAACATTATCATCATGGTGTAAATAATCAATTATTAGATGGAACTTCTAAATTCTCTTGCAAGTGATGAAGTAGTACCCTGGAGTAGGCTGTGACGATGAAGTCACTGTCGTCCATGAGGCTGTGCTGCAGCTTCTCCCTAGTCACCATCACAGGCAGCTTGAACTCACAGCGACAGTACCTGAGGGAGACAAGTGGGGGAGTGAAGAAATTGCATGAAACACAGTCAGTACTAGTCTGATGTACTACCTGATAGGTATGTCCTCTGATAGAGTTCTTGGCACATGTAGTAATAATGTCTTCTACGTGGTATTATTCATACTAACCAGGTATTTTGCATGCATGCATGTGTGTTTATGCCATACTCATCAGTATTCCAGCCATACCATAAGTTTGGCCCAAACAATCCAGTGATTGATATTGTGAGCAACAGTCCACACCATTTGGGTGGGATGGAACGCAATCACTGAGATTGACCACCTGATCCAGTAAGTTGCTTCTTACGACCAGCATAGGTTGCTAGGGACCAATTCTAACCTGGAATCCCTACTGGTGAGCAGTCATGGTGGTCGCCTGATCTCCATAGTAGTGAGATTTGGATTAGGGACATGCTAACAATGTACACACAAAGAGCAGCATGCTGCGACAGAGACACTCTCATACTGCATCCTCCTCACTGAATCCCACTCATAGCTACTGCCACAATGTACCCAACGCCTTCTTTGCTAAAACAAGCACTTTCTTCAACATCTGGGCATCAGGTTCAAACAAATAGTACTACTTTTTTTAGTTAGTACATTTTATACAAGGAATTCTACCCGTTATTAATCCTTGCAATTAAACGCAGTTGGTAAAGAATGTCTGGAAGAAATATATGCCCAGGCATTCATTGGAACTAATTCACAGCACATACAGACACACAGACACACACAATCTCACACACGTGCACACACACACACACACAATAAAACTCATTAACAAGGTATATGCAATTGTATGTGGCACAGTGGCCAACAAGACTCACATGTTAAAGTTATAGTGTCCAGGAAAGTTGGTGTGGAGAATGAACTTCTTCACAAGATAGGAGTTGGCATCAAACAACAGGTCCTGCAAATCAAAGTCAGTATCATTCAAAACTCAAGTATATAATTTTCCTCACCAGTCAGCATCTGTGTTGTTAAGTGCTAGACCTTCCAAACATTATCTGACAGACTCCTATCCAGAGTCAAATTCAAACTTTATTCCTGATGGAAGCATGATTTTGGAAAAGTAGGGTGCACACAATACCCAAGTCACAAACTGAACAAAATCCCGCTAAGGGTAAGGAGGGCACTCACTGCACCACCCAGCTCGACCTGTCTACAGAGAGTAGACACATTCTATCCACTAGACTACCCCCTGTCCCACCCCAGTTAGTCATGCTGTACTCACAACCCCCATGGTGAAGTAGTTGTAGAAGTCAGTGCTGCGAGAGTAGATACACTCTATCCACTAGACTACCCCCTGTCCAACTCTAGTTAGTCATGCTGTACTCACAACCCCCATAGTGAAGTAGTTGTAGAAGTCAGCGTTGCGAGAGTGGACACACTCTATCGACTAGACTACCCCCTGTCCCACCCCAGTTAGTCATGCTGTACTCACAACCCCCATAGTGAAGTAGTTGTAGAAGTCAGCACTGCGAGAGTAGACACACTCTATCCACTAAACTACCCCCTGTCCCACCCCAGTTAGTCATGCTGTACTCACAACCCCCATGGTGAAGTAGTTGTAGAAGAAGTCAGCGCTGCGAGAGCGGACCCTCTTGTGAGCCTCAGGGGAGTGGATCTTCATCTTGTCCTCAGATTTGTAGAACACCTTGCTGGGACAACCTAAGGCACTGATAACATCCTGAAACATGTAACCTTTTATGAAACATGAAATAAACTAATATAAAACACATAATAACAAACAAAACACGTTATAATCTTCTATGAAACATGGAATAACATATGAAACATGTAATAACCTACAAAACATGTAATAACCTTCCATGAAACACAGAATAGATTATGAAACATGTAATAACCTATGAAGCATGTAATAACCTTCTGTGAAACATGTAATAACCTTCTTTAAAACATGTAAATACCCATGAAATATGGAATAACCTACGAAACACAGAAACATGTAATAACTTTCTATGAAACACATAAACACCTTCTATGGAACATGTAAAACCTATGAAACATGTAATAACTGATGTAATAACCTTCTACGAAACATGGAAAAACTTATGAAACAGAATAACCAATGAAATATGTAATAAACTTCTATGAAACATGGAGTAACCTTCTATGAAACGCATCATAACTTTCTATACAACGCGTAATAACTTTCTATGAAGCATGTAATAACCTTCTATGAAACACAATACCTATGAAACATGGAATAACCTACACAACACGGAATAACCTATGAAACAGAGAATAACCTTCTATAGACACACATAATAACCTTCTATAGAACACGTAGTAACCTTCTATGGAACATGTAAAACTTATGTAACATGTAATAACTGATGAAACATGTAATAACCTTCTACTAAACATGGAAAAACTTATGAAACACAGAATAACCAATGAAATATGTAATAAACTTCTATGAAACATGGAATAACCTTGTCACATAAACTGTTGTGTGTGCCGTTAGCTCAGCCACGTGTGCAGTATGTAGTTCAATTTGTTAGGGTACATCTGTGTACTACTACACTAAGCAGCACAGTATTAGCATGAATAACAGCACATCGTACCATGATTCAATCAAAATGGGTTGTACTACAGTGATGTTGTTGCTACAGATTATCTCTATTAGTCACATTTACATCACTCACAGCAACAGTACAGTAAAAGGTATTTAGTTAATGATAGTCAAGATGTTAAGATAAAGTTTATCATGAGAATATACATACTACTGTATTTCAGTAGAATCAAACATATCTGACACCAAAATTAATGTAATCAAACACAAATTTTGACTAATTAATTTCTGATGAAATGACAGAAATGTAGAAAAATTATGTGCATCTCTCACCTGACATGAATCCCCGAAGCGAACAATTCTCTCAATAGGCCTCTTCCTTGGATCGAGCAACTTGCCTGCTCCACTACCTTGAATGACAGTACATAAAGTGTAAGGTTTGCCTGGAGTTATCTCCCTTAGGTTGCAAACCACGTTCAGTGTTGTGGTGAGGCAAAGTAACCTATCATTGAGAAAAAACTCATAGCAACACAGCTATGGGATATTGAGCTGAACACTTAAGATACTTGTGTAGCAGTTACTGTGGTCAGCCATATGTCTATTCAAAACATTGGAAACAAGACACTTTGTTGGTGTTCCAAAATGAGGGGTGGGAAAAGTCTCCTATATTTGAATCCATGCACCCCCTCAATCTTTAACATTAGCAGTATGACGAGGACTTAATTTTTTAATGTTGGCTATATTTATATCTTATCTCAAATGATGGCTCTGTAGCTCACCTGGCTGGACCTGTATTTGTATTTTGCTGAAAGATTCTCTTGTATGAAATACTGTTGAAACACATATAGCTGTTGCAGTTACTTGTTTACATAGCTCCACTTACCCTCAGTCACCAGTAAAAACTTAAGTCCCAGAGTTGTATTATGCTCTCGTAGAACTTCCAGGCAATCCAGGAAACAGTTGCCATGGAAACACGAAACAGGCAAGGGAGGTGCTCTACAATGACATAAACCATTCAACATATCATTGCATATTCTTACACATCAGACTTGAATATATCATGGTCATGATAAACAAGCAACTGGATGGAACTCAGTTTAAGACACTTGGTAAGGTTTCAAGGCACCTTCTGAATTGGAAAAGATTTAGTCCTTGACAAACTGAGGAACATACTCAGGACACAATGCAATCTGTAGGCTCTTGGGAAAACTTACTTTGTTTCCTGAAGACTGTTTCCTGAGTATATACACATTCTCGACACTGTGGGAGAAGCTCCATTTGGAAACTGAAGAGATCCCAGTCCATGAGCATACTTTGGCTGTGAAACAATTGATGATGAAAAGCATACTGTTCCTATAAAAGGGTTGAAATACATAATGTAGGACAACATAAGCTAGCCTACAGATGAACTAGTTCAAATCAGGAATGGAAACTTTCCTAGGAAAAGATCTAGTCCTGCTCAGAAGTTGACTGGCAGGTTGACTGTATTTCAAACACTGCTTCTTAAACTATCATCAAAAGTATAATTTTAGCTGTACAAAGGATATGGAATAGTTAGTGCGTTATGCTATATTACTCTACACTCAGGTGCGGTGAGGTGAAATGGGGTTCAATGTCGCATTCAAGATTATTGCACTGACATAGCGACATTCATGCACGTGTGTGTGTTTGTGTGGCTGCTTGTACTAGTCCCGACTGATGCTACGTTTATAGTGCTAGCCCACTGAGACACCATGCCAAAGTTTAACATGAAAACCCCACTCAGATACAGTATACTGACTCTGAGCTGACCAGTCCTTATTTTAGGCCCTTAATGGCAAGCACCAGGCAGGGTAACAACAAGCACCATCTTTTAACGTCTTTTGGCATCCACAGAATTATTTCAGCTGAACCAGATAGAACAGAGTCTGGGCCACATGAAACAGTGGTTGATAGTATGAGCAACATTTTGCATCGTTGGGGTGCGTCATCCAGCTCATGTATTGACTTAAACGTCCCATTTCCTATTTCCGTTGGCTCCTATGACAAGCACAGTTCACCAGACTACCCATGGGATCAGAGATACTGGGAATGAAGCTTTTGGCATCGAATGTCTTTGAAAACAACCTGGAAATTGAGTAATATTATCTTAACTTCACATAAATCAACTATACTCAAGTGGAACTAAAGATGCACACAAAACAAATGTATCCCAGTGCTTAAGGAAATGAAAAGACTCTCATAATACAAAGATATTTCAATCTATGTGATTAAGTTAAATACTGACATTGATGTCACTGAAATATTCAATGTCAATTTAGCTATAATTATCTCTTTGGACTTCTATGTTCAATATCTCTTAGTTGTGATTTAGATTAACTATTTGATAACTGTACCCATATGTAAGTACTTCCTTCCATATAATGCACATCTTCATAAACATAATCTATAAGAGTTTGTGCTTTGTAGGTGACTGGCAGTAACCGTGAACAGAAGAAATTCTTGCAACCATTATAATGGACAGGTTGTGCAGTACAAAGCTACAGAATGTGAAACAGATAAGCAAGGCATGGACTCACATTTATGGGGAATGCATCACATACCACAAAATGCAAAAATTAAAAACAAACAAAACCCCTCAAAACAAACAAAATAATAATAATTATCTGAAAAATCGTAAATGAATGGATCATGACTTTTCTTAATTTTTCTCTAAGTTGACCGCATGCTTAGATCTGTGTGAAACGGTATTACCTCCCTTACATTACTGTTACTATTACAGATCTTAGAGGAAACAATTACCCTGAAAGGCAGTCATGACTTAATTAATGGCAGACAAGAAATAATTGGAGAAACTTAGACATAGGGTTTGAAACAAATGCTGCAGGTTTCCAGGTGATAAGACCTCTACTCACTATCAAACATCCATTTACATGGCTCATGTATTTGTCAATCTGGGGTCAGGAGGAAAAAAAGCTTGTCACAGAAATCATTTCAAAGCAAAAAACAGATTCTAACTAATAATGAAGCCATGATGAAATGAAAGAGAAGAAGAAAGTATACATAGGAGAGTGGAATAACTTGTAATTTCCTAACACAACTACACCGAGATTGGTGGTGATATTTTCAGAAGTTAGTGTTCAAAAGAAGACATATTGAGAAACTTATGTTTTGAATGGTCTTAGTGAGTAATTATTGCTTAACGCTGCATCAGTAATCTTTCAGCTATTCGCAGCAAAAAAATGTCTAATCTGACATTATGGAAACGAACATAATAAAGTGATGCTGAAAATCACTAAAACCTCAGTCAAATATCACATTCAAAGGATACTGTTTATTACAAGTTACTGCTTCTAAACAACACCCGAAAACTCACCTCAAACTTGGAATCAATTGGGAAGTCAAATGAAAGCCCCCGGAAATTTAGAACAAACAACTGCTTTTCAGATATGTACACTGAAAAAAAAGCAAATGAAAACGGTATATAACTGATTGAAAGCTTAAGTTGACATTTTGATGAAACATCTTGAAATTAACAATATGAAGAATGTGAAATATGAATTTATGTTTTATGAGCTTTCCAAAAATACATTGCGTTTCTCTAGAACCAGTACTACAGTATCTAACATGTTGTTTAATTCAGTGTGATGTGTTTGTCAAGGCAGAATGCAGTAAGTTATTTTTGTACTTTCAATATGACGACCTCAGCCTTGTCTCCCCCAGCAATGCCTGTTTACACACAGTAATAGTGTCAATAAGCTTTTGAACAGATTACAACAGCCTGCAACTTTAGCCACTCGTCTGAGCCCTGAGTCTAGCAAACTTTGGCTTGGTCTGGTAAGCTCAGCAGTACATATAACATTAATAACATTAAAACCTGCTGACAATAATGCGTCAAGTTCCGGCTAGCAGAGCCACAGACTTACAATAATGCTTTGTCTCTGAAAATATATAATTTTGATACAAACAAATAACTCCATTTAAATTGAAAAGGAGCTTAAGTGAGACGGGAGATTCAGAACCTGAGGACGTTTTTTTCACATTTAGGGCCTTTGCATTACACAAAGAGCTGGGTTGAAGTAAAAATAATGTGGTTCAGGAGCTGTGAGACCCACAAACGTTTACAGTAGTTCATGGAAAGTACTGCCAAGGGTAGTTAGATAGGGAGTGGTTGACATGACTTTAAGATGATGTGTGTTAAATACTTTTGTAGAGTCTCTGTTGCCAAACACTTGGATAGCATGTCATATGGGATAATATTGTTGATATTCTTGTACAGAACTGATATAAAGCGATGTATTTTGCAACATCCCACATGTACCCCTAACTTGACATGAGGCTGTTCAACTACGTAGTCATACACTAGATGCAATCCATTTCTCACAACATGATTATTTCACTGATATCAAGCAATGATATTACAAACAGCAATAACTTTCCTCTCCTCGTGTTTTATAGTATGTGTTCGTTTAGTTTTTCCATTTGTATATATATATAGCAAGTCCTCCTTGTTTAGCTTACCTCTTATTACAAGGAGTACTAAAACAGCAGAGCACAGGGCAATGACATCAAACAACCTTCAAATTGACACTAATCCGCAAGCCTGTGACTACTCAATTGTGCTGAGGACAAGATCCAGTGATGTAGTATTATCAGGCTCGGAAGCGGTCTTACCAGAGACAACAACAACAAACACTTCTTAATAAATATAAGGATAAGTATTCCAGGGAATTTTGGAAGGCTATCGGGAAAATCGGAATAGTTAATGATAGGAGTACTTCCCTGGGAAGTTGTGGAAAATGGGACGGTTGTCTCTGATAAGGGCAAAGTTTTGGATAAATGGAAATCTGATTATTGTAAATTATACAATGGCGACATCTATGATCAGTTCGATTGATAACCACTTCCATCACGTAGTGGAGTGTGTATCTTCTGATTCCGTTACTTGTACCAGCACTGTGGACACAGGCTCTTTAGATGCATCTATAACACGCGAGGAGGTCCTCCATGCAATTAATCGTGCTAAATGTGGTAAGGCTGCTGGGTTAGATTTTATACCTGCCGAGGCATTAAAAAATAATTACTGTATTGATGTATTATTGCGCATATTCTCATATTGTTTTAACAACAATGTTTGCCCTAATATTTGGCGTCATAGCTTAATTTATCCTCTCAAAAAAGCTGATACAGACCCACGTGACCCATTAGGGTACCGTGGAATTTCTTTAATATCAATACCATGTAAGTTATACGTGGATATTTTAAATACTCGTTTTTCTAGATGGTTGGAATTAAATGATATTTTGGCAGAAGAGCAAAACGGCTTCCACAGTAAAAGAAGTACAACAGAACACATTTATACTTTATTCTCCATCATCAAAAGCCATAAATCTGTTAAACTCCCAACTTTCGTCTGTTATATCGAGGCCATGAAAGCCTTTGATCGTTTGAACCGCGATTGTCTTTGGTATAAATTACATAGATTGGGAGTAAACGGAAAGTTCTTCCGATCAGTTAAATCGCTATATGAAAATAATAGCTCTCAGGTTTTTATAAATGGTAAAATGACTGACAGCTTCGCTGTATTTAGCGGTGTAAAACAAGGATTTGTTCTGTCGCCAATGCTCTTTTCTGTTTTTATCAATGATTTAGTTAAAGAAATTAATGATCTTAAATGCGGAATAAAGGTTGATAATTCTATAATCAGTATTTTATTGTATGCCGACGATATCGCTCTTTTAGCACTCCATGAAAAGTCATTACAATCAATGTTAACCTGTGTCGATTATTGTAACATATCCTCTGTTAAGTCATCCTATCACTTTACTTGTGGTGCGGAAAATATAGAAATTGTTCATTCATATAAGTATCTTGGGCTTTGGTTACATGAAAACTTAGATATGAATTATACAGCAAAAGAAATATCTAAATCAGCCAGTAGGGCACTTGGGGTAATTATCAGTAAGTTTAAAGCGGTGGGCGGCAACGATTACGATGTATTCACTACTTTATACAATAACTTAGTTCAACCAAATTTATCATGTGGTTCAGCTATTTGGGGCACCAAAGAATTTAGTTGTATTAACGCTATCCAAAATAGAGCTTGCCGCTTTTCTTGGGAGTAGGCAACAAAACACCTAATTTGGCAGTAAGGGGGGAAATGGTCTGGTCATCTAACTATACAAAGCAAAAATCTGAGATAGTACGTTTCTGGAAAAGGCTGAGTTTGGCAGATGAAAACAGGCTAATGCATATAGTGCAAAGATGGTCATCTAAATTTTGTAAGTCATGGGATAATTCAGTTAAGAAATTATTCGATGTGAAATCAATTACTTCTGTTATAACTAATCTATTATCTTGTGACTTCGACCATGCTAGAAATATACTCATCAATAAGAATAAGGAATTATGGTTTGAACAGCTCTGGGATGACAGAGGATTAACAAATGGTATTAAGTTAAGAACATATCGACTGTTTAAAACGTCTTTAAGTACCTCCAAATATGTCATTAATTTAGCCAACAGAGAACATCGTAGTATATTTGCTAAATTTAGATGTGGTACCCTCCCTCTAGAAATCGAACTTGGTCGTTTCTTGAAACCAAAAATTCCCTTACATAATCGTATTTGTAAACACTGTAATACAAACAGTATCGAAGACGAGGTTCATTTCTTAACAACGTGTAATCTTTATGCAGATCAACGAGAATATGTTTGGGGTTATGCCTCGTCTCTTTGCCCAAATTTTTGTCTCATGACCCCTATAGATCAAACCACATTCCTTATGAAGTGCGATAATTTATCCTATTCTGTAGCTGCACTAATTAAATCCATGTACAAACGTAGGTTATATAACAACGTGTCATAAACCCATTCTAGTATTGTATGCCTCTGTATATTTTATAAAACATGTCATTGTATGGCAATGCTTGTTATAAATTTACAAGTATTTTATTTTTATCACGTATTTTGTGCACCATTAATAAATATATTCATCACTGTCCACTCTAACTATTTTAGCACTTGCAGTGCTTTTAAGAACATTAGTGTCTAATAGGCCCACACTGGCCGGGCGATGTATATCTTTTAATATATTTTACCTCCTGTATAAATTGATGTAATTTTATGTATACACCGCTGGACACTTAAATAAACTATTTTTCTTCTTCTTCTTCATTATCATCTGAGTCTCCTATTTTCTTAACCAGTTATCAATACTTCAATTTGCTACAAATTGGAACTGTTATATAAACCTGACAGAAAAAATAACCATAGTAAACATTTTTGTCTCTTTCAAAGCAGGGATAGCTACAAACTCGGATAACTAGTGACATAATGTTTACACTAGTCCTCTGAACTATGCGTATAATACGCATTCGTGTGTTATATGGGCAAATAAATTCTGGAAAAATATATCTGTCGTATATAAACATTTCAGGCTGTCAGCATAAACCGCGAAATTTATCTTTTAACTGTTTTTTTTCCACCAAAATAATATGCTTATAAGAGCCCCGTATTCCTAATTTTGAGAGCGCTCTGGACACTTATTACGTCGAATACGGTACATCATGTTAAACCCTTGGTCATTAACTGATTACATGGGTGAGAGTTAAGCAGAGAAATATTTTCCAGAACAATATTGTTTGCTTCTAAATATGTCTCTTTAAATGCACTCCCTGCATTATTAAGCAGCATGTCAAACAATGTTAAACATTTATAAGGAAACAATCCACGTTTATTAACAAGAGTTTAAAGGTTTAATTGCTTATTATCGTAATGATGACCCATCCTGGTGAACCATGTGCTCTCCTAATTCCCCCTTTCCACCCCTATAGTGATCTTTAAGCCCTTCTCTTTAGCTACCCCTTTTATCACGGCAGCGTGACAAATGCGTATTGTCATCACATTGTCATGGGTCATGGCAAAGTCGAAATCGTACCTCCAGGGTGAGTTGCCCCGAATGACTGGTCAATTTGCTCAATGGTTGGACGCACTTGTGCCGTGTTGAAGTGAACCCCGCTGTGAAATAGCCAATTAATCATTTGTTAATGAAAAACAATATTTCGGATGCATGCAAAAAGAGGAGCTCCAAACAACAGGCTCTGCTTTCCCAGCTGTAAAATCAAAGCTACAAAAGAAGGGCATAAATAGGAAGGAGTGGAATGTAAAATCATTTTTTTAACCCTTAGTCTCATTTTGATGGAGATCGATTGTGAACGCAATTAAGGCAATAAAAATGCTTCCTGTCATAACGTTACCCCTGCTCTGAAGAGGTTAGAGCGAGAAGAGAGTTCCGTTGCTTCATTCAGACACAACATAATGTCAGATTATGTCCCCATTGCCATAGGCTACTCTTTGAAATGACCGGGTCAGATTTGTCGGTTGAATCAGGCTCAAATTGATGGCTTAATACACGTCTTTTACAAATTTGATAATGGCAAAACTGCTCCCCGAGACCAGGTTTTAAATCAATAAGACATAACCATCAAACAGCAATTTGTCAACACAATAGCACCTTCATCAAAGCCAAAATGTGAAATATTTTCATTTAGAGCCGTATTATGTTCCCCTTCAAACATCAAGATTTAATCTGTGAAATGTTTATCGTAATCAATAAAAAATCTCACTACACTTTGCCCTGATATTGAATATGTTGATATTTACAACCTTCAGGGAATATGACAAAATTAGTTTCACAAATGAATAATAACAATCCTGATTTGTCATGAAGACCTACAGCTGTTAGATTTCGCCAAAGTACACTTACCAATATTTTAATTTGACCTTGCTCATATTGTTTACTTCTATAATCTGAAAGGAAACAGAAAAAAACACTTAAAGATTCAATAGAAACAAGTATTAACAACTTTGAAATTGAATTACAAATATATAGCATCTGGACACAATGACCAATGACACAACCTGAAAATTTAGTCAACAATCAAATGTGCCAAACATTTTATCTGCACCCATGTATGACAATGATTGTTTAAACAAACACTGTAACCAAACTTCCCCTTGGCATTTATCATATAATACTCAAAAGAGTTAAAGAACACCTGATTCTTTCATATTACTATAAAAAATATGTCATGACATGACATAATAACTATTGCATTATAAAAGGATTGGGTTTTATTTAACTTTTGGGAGAAGCATATTATTAGACAAATATTTTACAAAAGAAACTTAAAAAGCAAAATCTTGATATGAACATGATGAATGGACACATAATTTTAAGTAAAATAGGAAAATGTAAGTTTTACAATAAATCTCTACTCAACAAGACGCAGACTTCACATAACTGGATAATATGAACAACTTCATTGCAACATTATATATACATTCATGAAAAAAAGATCTGCAGGTTATGACACATAATTATACTTCTTGATGATAAATCATAGCTGGAGCTGGAAGACATATATGGCAACATTTTATCACATAAATATAATAAATGTTCATGTTCTTGCACAGACAACTAAGACACTGATCCGACTCATACCATGCACTGCCCCTGTACAGCCTGTGGATGGGAGGGGCACAAGTTCCTATTTTTATTCATTCACTATAATCTTTACACATTAGGGGACATGTAGTCATAAAAAATACTCAAACAGGTCAATTCCATAATTTCACCCAAAATTATTATTCTTGTTATCTCAGCAGATTTAATCATTGTACATTGACACTATGAGCTGAAACATAGATGGGATGTAACTCTAATGGTAAGAGTTATTCTGGTTTTGTTCTAGTGTCTGCACGTTGATGAATCCGGCTGACCATAGTGTCAGGAGACAATGTATCTGTCACAGCCAAGTCACCACTACCCACCCTGAGTGGACAAGGCGTCCTTGTTTGACCCCAAATGTCCCTAAGGTCTTCTTCTGTTTCATGGTATCAAGTCTGCCCTGTGATCATGGCCACTGTCCCTTATTTCCACACTAGCCAATCTACCAGATTATATTAAGTTAGAGCTGAACACGGCCTGGTCATCAGTTCTCTTGTCCTAACTGACATGGTCATTTCCTCAAATTGAACACTACAAACAAAAACAATTTGCTGGCCTTTTTGACCGTCCCTCCCATTTGAAAAGAAGCATGTCATTTTGTGCTCATGACTGACACCTTGGGCCAATAAAGACTCCTTGGGAAGAGATATTTTATATCGCTATCTCCCTAAAAGCAATCAGGGTTAATTGAGGACAATCGAATTGGGACCTTGATAGGGGACTTTGTTGATTAGGGGATTGACGGGTCCTGGTGCCGCGGGACAAGTCAAACATCAGACTAGACGTCCTGCAATGCTGGTCAGCTGCCAGGACATCTGTCTGCTTGTCCAGTGCAGTGGACTCAAACTGACCCTTGCTGCCTTATTGTTGAGGTGGTTCTTTGAGTCTGGATCAATGCAAAAAACATAATGTCCACTCAGGCAAGATGGCACGTGCCCAGTTGACCCCATATAGTTTATTGTTGATTAAATCTGTGGGCAGTTGTATGTACCCAGCAGATTAATCCACAGGTCTTGCTCATGGCCATTTGTTCATTGTATAGTATTGTTCTGTGGAGGGAGGTTTGTTCTAGCTGCGACTTATTGCCCTGAGTTGTGTCCGGAGCAGTGACCCCTTGTAGGACATTGTGTCCAGTGTGGCCATGCTTGTTACAACCCAGCTGTTGCTCACATCTCACTTCATCTGTTAAATGGTCTTGTAGATCTCTATCTTGTATACTTACATGCATCAATTAACATTAAAGTGATCCAATTCCTTATTTACCTGCTGCTAAATGGTGTGTATGACAGCTGGATTACTATTAAAGATTCTTATCAGAAGCAAGTAACAAAACAAAAATATGTTTCATTGATAATACAAAATAGTTGTGTCTTTTTGGACTGTTATAAGTTATTCACTTTATGTGTTACAAAAACTAATATGTGGCATTACTCATAACATTAATTTCATTCAATATTGAAAAAAGGAAACTTTTTTCCTTTTCAATCCATTGAACACGACTGCCTTAATTCATTGATGACAGGACTCCAGTCTGGTTCCAGTGATGAATTACCTTGTCGGACTTGAAAACATGATGTGAATATTAACCCCTGCACATGATTCCATAGTTCACTGTATACAGTATGTATGCAGGCTGCCAGATTTTACTACTTGAAAGTTGATACCTCATAAAATCAAACATAATTTTCTTATCAAAGACTAAACTTTGCTAAAAAATACCCTCTGTCACAGCTGTTACTAGTTTCTACAATACAATGAGCCCCTGCTGACTCCAAATCTGATGGAACTAGCAATTAGAAAGTCAAACTTATAAAACCATCAACAATGACCTCTACTATTACAGCAGATATTTAACTTCGGATAATGCTCTTGGAGTTAATTAACTATGAGAAATAAAACCTTTCTTACAGCAAAAATACATTTTGCCACATTATGTTTTAAAGCAAACTATTCTATGATTGATCATGATAATTATCACTAACACTGCTATCATCATATCAATGTTCCAGAGACAAAGACTGGATCCCAATTTCTCTATTTGTTATTAACCCATCATATGGAAAAAATATAATGTACCCAGATCATGCCAACCTTAACATTGTTGTCTGAACAGTTTCCTGAAAAATTAATTTGTTTTCTGTCATGAATTGAGACAAGCAAATTTAAACTGCGAACAGACTGGATGATTAAGACTTAGGCAAGAATCTGAACATGATGTCAGCTTGTTTCATTGGCATTACACAGCTGAGTTGTAATTGTTGGATTATCATTTGTGTTATTATTTCAACAACTTACAACAATTATGTTCCACGTCAAGACCAATAGTGTTCATATTAGGGATTTGGGGTCCTGGTTTTGTTACAAAATAATATTGAATGCTGGGCTAAAGACTCCGTGATGACTGCTGACGGTATCATTAAACATACAAGTCATTTACATAATGACAGAGGGTCCTGAGGTGGACGTGCGAGTGGCATGATACAATATGAGGTCGCAGACTATGACTAGCAAATCCTGTAATGACGTTTGATTCAATTGTGCCTCGTTGCACAAGAAGAATAAGCTAGGCTGGACAATACCGTCGCTTGTCACTGTCACGGGGCAGGGAACGCGGGCGGGACGACACGCAGCAAGGTGGAGGAGGGGAGGGTCAGTCAGTCAGCTACCCGGACACCGAAAAACCATCTCTGGTGTTTATTAATCATGTCAAAGGACAAGAAGCCCCCACTTAAGCTTTATGCTGGCTGTCAAAGGACAACTATTGAGTGTCAGGTTTCTCCTTAAAACACCAAAGAACCCTGAGCTGGTGTTTTCATCCTCATTTTTTCAGCTGCAAAATATGAAATAAAAGAGGGAGCTGAAGGTACTTAAATGATAGAGAAATTTCATGAAAAGGTTCATCAATTAAGTGCTGGTCTTGTCAACGTCAGTAATCCTTAACCAATGGCCAGTGGGTGTGATGAGGGTGCTTCATATTCGGGCACACGGCTAAGAGAAGCTTCTTTTTGTGGCAGCATCTATACCTGTTATTACGTGGCCAGAGCTTCCCGTAGCATGAAGTCCATGATAGCAGCCCCTACCTCAACCCTCCCTGCTGGATTACAGGGTAGGTAAATAGCTCCACTGGACAGACCACCACCTCCCTCCCTCTTATTACTGAATTAGATGCTGACAGAACACAGCCCCATCCAGCCAGTCTACCCATGTACAATATAGGCTCGGCTTGGGAATAAGCGCCACAGACAACAGATATCAACATGTATGGGAAGTATTATAATGGGACATGTCAGGCACCTAGAAGAATACCGTCTGGGGGGAAATCTAGACTAGGCCTTTGTCATGGAGGCAAATGAGCAGAAAATACATACATTCAAGATCAGCTGAAGGGATAATCACGGTTTACACGCAGAGATAAACAGCATGGATAAAAACCTTCCTGTGTATTTTTATGAGCTGATAATTGGGATGTCAGATGGTATATGGAAGATGGCAATAATCACCATACATGTCTGTGAAATGAATACAAGATCAGCCTGAGCAATTCAAACCATCCCTTTTTAACTGTGATGAACATCCAAACCGTCCTAATGATGACAATATTAAAGCATTCATTTCTTTGAAATATTATTCATGATTCTTGAATATAGATATCAGGATTTGATATCATTATTCAGTTCAGAACATGATACTATTGGTCCAGTATTTCTCTGACAATATTCAGTACATTGACTTCACTCAAAAGAGAAAGATACTCTTAACAACCTTCTTGAAATCCATAAGGTTAGACAAACTTTATTACAATATTCAAGGGTAAAATAACAAAATATTACTGTCTGGTAATTTTCTAAAATACCCTCTTGATCAAATGCTTCAACATAATTAAAAAACCCACAAACATCATATGCTAAAAATGCATACTTTCAATCAATCACGGCATTTAAATATTTCATATTAAATATACTTTTGACAATTATCTCCTATAAAAACTCTCACATCATCCTCCGTTGATCATCACCCAGATTACACCCATACTTTTGTTATAGATACCCATGTAGTACTACTGAGCAGTGTAAAACAACCATTTCTAGTTGAACTTGGTCAAGTAGGACACAAGGCTATGAGACTGTCGGGGGTCGGGGCGACGTGTGTGCAGCACTTGTAAGGGAGGGGACGGCAAAGGATCAGGGAAGGGCATAATGGATGGGTGAGGGAGGGGAGGGGACGTGAGGGTGTCCACCCTGGTCCTACCCTCACCTCGCACTGACCTGACACACGTCCACAATGTCCAGGTGCACATGAAAGGGACATGAACTCAGACAAAAACTACCATTGACATTTTTATTCATATGTTTAAGACCCAGTGAAAAGGCCGGGATGATAATTAGCCGAGCATAGATGTTAATGAATATAATTGATGACGATCTCTGTCCACACTGAGACTTAATAGGGATCATTAGACATACCACCAGCAATAAGCTTTCTCCATTACACTTCAATGGTATTTATTATTTGATTCTCAAGTCAAAAAGCACAAGCAGTCCTTAGTGTGAGCTTTGTGTGCTTGAGACTCAAAGTGTCCCAGATGTAACTGATTCGAGTTTCACATAGGGGGTACGTTCAGTCAGTGCTGACAGACAGCATGAGTGATGCAGTCAAATCAAACGGACATTAATTCTGATTAATCCCACCTCCAGGTGCACATTCCTCTGTATCTTTTATTGAAAACCCTCATGCAGTTCTAAGTATTAACACATTGTAATATGGGTTGACAATTTTAACGGAACAGCATGAACAGATTTTATCCACAGTTTTCAAGGAGTTTTCTGTAGTTTAGATAAAGAATCCATTGTTATGGGGCGTTTTTTCTGAATGAAAAATTTAAGACCTCCAAAATTATTGTGTCTGTGGCGACAATATGGAGGTGTCATAAAGAAATAACACATTGTTATCGAAGTGTTCTTTATGAAAAAATTCAAACATGGGACCTCCTACACATGTGTGTGCATGGATAGAATCATTAATTTCATTTCAAGGCACTTCCTGCTTTTTATGGCAATGAATATTTTCATAAATTTACTATCAGAAAAAAATAAAAATCATTGCAGAATATTCATATTTACATTGAAGAGAGAACAATCACATTTAAACTAGTCGGAACGACAACTGTGTTCTCAAATGTTTGCTACCTATCAGTAAGGCAATGATGAAGTACCTGTATGTTTGTACTCTATCATGTGAACACCCATCCCACTGTAAGCTAGCTGTAAGGACGTTTGTATTGGCCTGTCAATGGGGCATGGCCATTCAGCTTTCAGTAATGCAATGATTAGCATGCTCTCTTTGTGTCCTTATCAAGTGAACATGGAACCCTTTACACATGTCACATTCATCTTGTGAAGAAACTATACAACAGTAATCCTTGACCAGGTAGAAGTTGTTAGGTCATGACTTCTTGTTTCTTATCATACTAATGACAAATATGAAACATCACTGTCTTAACTTTATTAATATAAATAATCTTTACCAAATGAGTTCCTCTGAGAATATTAAACATGATGTTCAAGACTGATTTACAATATGAACTCTTTAACCTCTTTAATCCGGATGCTCACATACTAATGATTAATATGAAACATAAAAGTTTTAACTTTATTAATATTAATAACATATCCCAAATGAGTTATTCTGAGAATATCATACATGATGTTCAAGACTGATTTAGAAGAAGAACTCTTATCTACACTTTAACCTCTTTAATCTGGATGCTCACATACTAATGATTAATATGAAACATAAAAGTTTTAACTTTATTAATATTAATATCAAATCCCAAATGAGTTATTCCGAGAATATCATACTTGATGTTCAAGACTGATTTAGAAGAGGAACTCTTATCTACACTTTAACCTCTTTAATCCGGATGCTCACATACTAATGATTAATATGAAACATCAAAGTTTTAACTTTTTAATATTAATAACATGTCCCAAATGAGTTCCTGAGAATATCATACATGATGATTTTTAAGACTGAGTTAGAAAATAAATGAAATATCTGGATTATCTAATGATGGGTGTAGAGTAATGTGTTACTGTAGACTGTAGGGTTTCCAGGGTAAAAGGGTCCAGATTAACAAGATTTCACTGTACCCACTACACAGCAATAATCAGCATACACTAGACAGGGCATTCAATAACCCATAGCATCACAGCAGAAGACTTAGCCCTTGATTGATCAACAATGTAACACTGAGAGATCAAATTTGTCTTCTAGCATTCATTCATACAGATTTCACTCATTTACCTCGTTTGGGACTCGAAGCTCGTACACATACAGAAATAATCTAACATCAAAGGTTTTCTCATGTTAATGTAAAAAAAATTACATTAAAACCTTTTCTATTTCTCATACTATATTCCACCTGCTACAGACAAGTTGCTTGAACAAATGTTAAAAGAGAACCTAAAATTAAGTTGCAAAATAATAGCTTTCACAATCAAGGAAGATAAAACTTCCTGTTGCCATCAATCAAATGTCATCCCATGTCTGAACAACAATATAGACAATCGGGAAAGTGATCACAGTTATTACAGACAACACTCAACAAAATCCAATAAAGGACATTTCCATATTTTGTTCATCTATTTCATTAATTGAGACAGCCATCAATATTGCCATTATTGAACACTCTTCTACTGCAGCCTGGTGGCAATAATAATTATGTTTGCTCTGGCCAGTTCTCCAGCCAGGCCAGATGCCCAACGATTCAACGACCTTTATAGGTATTTATTGACAAACAGTCATATCATTTTTTCAATTCATCAGAGGAGCTAAAGCTATTCTTTATCTCTATATCAGTCAACAAACAGCGACAAGAGCTTTAACCAACACGGTGATGATGCCAGCTTGCCTATACAGTATGTAAACTCTGGCCAGAAAATGAAGGAGCCATATTTGTGCGTCCACAACGAAGGTCCACAAAAAAATAGTCTGTAATTCTGATTAATGGCTATCCATGACTGCTGGACGACAGTGATAAAGAACGCTATTCACAAGTCCTAACAAAAGAACAAAAGACTCAAGTTTTAATCGTTGTTAAGTTTTGCCAGTTCATCGAGCAGCGCGTGCCGTTTTTCTCCCCTTGAAAGGTTGACATGTCTTTTGTCCCGTTGAGTGTGACAGTGACCAGTGGATAGAAGAAGAGCCTCTCCATGCTGCCCCAGTGACTGTCCAGGGCTGATAAGATTCTCTCTGACCCTATTAAGAGGGGTAGCATGTTTCTCAAGAGGCAATCGTCAAGAGAGCAGGTCCGAATGCTCTCATTTCATGCCCCCCTGATTCTATCATTTTCAACCCCTGTCAAGCTCAATGAAGCTCATCAAATAAAAGCCAAATTGAAACAAATTAATGAGCCTAACTGGCAGATGCTGATAGGAGTTTTTTCTCCGCAGATCAGCAATTGCAAGTAATCAAGTGTGGACAAAAGGTGGTACATGGTGCTCGGAGGCTGTATTTATTGATATTATCACTTGTCTCTGGGGTGACAATGGTGGACACGTCCTGCCTCCTCCACCACTGGCCCTACATAAACATACATGCACGTGGCATGGCACAGGCCTCACCTTCAGACGCTGGGACACAGGGTCGAAGATGAGTTTGATGCCGTCGTGGGACAAGTTTAACACCAGGTCCATCTGAAGAGGGTTCTGTTGAGAGAAACATGAGCATTAGTCATGACGCTTGATGGATAGCAAAACTCTCACCAATGACAGAAGAACACAGACGGAAAAAGAATAATAAGAATTGATGGATGAAATAAAATGCAGCTTTTCCTACACAATCTGTTACTGTTAGTTTTTCCATTTTTGAAATCTTTTTATAAACAGACCCTAGTTTACGAACAATACTTTGAAGGCACACAATTGAACTTCTATAAGAAAGCACACTATTTTCATTTCTTAAAAAGCTCCACTCCTCAAGTAATATCTGAACATATGTCTCAACTAAACAATGATACTGTGGATTGTATGCACTCATCAAGGGCGTTTAACTTGTCGACCTGATTTTGATCCGTGGACGATGACTGACAACTGTGCCTGATTTGAACAAAGGTGCAGACATTGATTTTAGAAGTCACATACCAACATGATGAAAATTACAGGATTGGGTCTATACACATTATCACGATAATGACATCAATATGTATCATGGTACAGAAAAACTGCCAAGTATAGACTTCCAATCAGCAGGTGTGTAAATCATGTACATAGCCTACATGCAACAAACAACATTTGATATATCCTCCAACCGCTAAAATATTAAATATTCCTTTAATCTCCAACCTGATCAAATAAAAAAGAACAAGAAAATACTTCTGAATACCTTTCTTTTGTCAGATATAAACAAATCAGAAAACAACTTTGTATACAAGACACTCATAATGAAAGTCCAATAAAATTAACAGGAAAAATGGATGGAACCCTCCCCAATTATCTAGGTTGATTGCAGTGAGTGAGTGAGTGAGAGTGAGTGAGTGAGTGAGTGAGTGAGTGAGTGAGTGAGTGAGTGAGTGAGTGAGTGAGTGAGTGAGAGTGAGTGAGTGAGTGAGTGAGTGAGTGAGTGAGTGATCAACAATATGATAGTCTTATCAAAGTGGTCAGTTTATAATACGACAGAAAAGTCTAAAGAGACACACTTAGACATGTACCACACAGTGTCCGAAATAACTGCCTGCCCGCCTGCCCATGGCTGGCAACTTTTCTGTCGGGCTGCATGAAATTTTCTGCTACCTGCCCAACTGTCTGGCAGATAATTTTAAGCCAACTTAAGTTGTTCAGTTTATTGTAAGTCCTCGTAGATTTTCAATTAATTGTAAGCATTATTTCAACTGAATAAAGATGCAGTCTATAATGTATGAATGTGGCCAGGTAACTCCTGCCCGACTGTCTTGTTGGGTTTTAAAATTATTCATATGATATGTATCATGATATGTCATAGGTCACGATATGATATGATACGCATCGCGATACGCATATTTACGTCACATCACATGGAAACCTCTCGACGGTAAATATTTTAAAGCAGGTTCCCATTTAACAGGTAGCTGTAGACAAATGTTTGTAGAGGCAATTTATAGTAGTGAACTTGAAAAGCCATGATTTCAATTGCTTCCATTAGAATTAGGTGGACTATAGTATTAAAGTCCATCAATGGTAGTTTCTGGCTCTCCATTTGTTTGTTTGTATCTTGTTTAATGCAACACTCTGCAGTATTCCAGATACATCTAAATAACTGAGGCCAGACCAGATAATCCAGTGATTGATATTATGAGCAAAACCTAAACCATTAAGACATGCAATCAACCAAGTCACCGTTCCTGGCCACACATCCATTTAGTCACAAATTCTATGATTTAGGACATATTCTAACCTTGAATCCCCATAGCAACTTTCCTTCTTGTAATGCCAAGCTCACCCGCACTTATTTCACCATATCTAATTAAAATTAATCAAACTTTTTAAAAGATAGATAACCATGAATTTGTAACTGGGACTATTCATTTCTTTCGTTAAACTAAGAAGTAGTTCACATGTAAAAGAAACCTTGTCGGATCATGCTAAGTGCAAAACTTCATCTTTCGTATTCCCCAAATGGCGTATACCTTAGACCATGTAGACAGGGATTCCAATGAGCAAACAATCATCTGTAAGAGATAACATGCCTGCATGCTTGCAACCCATGCAAACCACTACTAACATGTAAAATAGCAGGGTCCTAATTTTTCAAGATGATGCCTGAATTTCCAGTATAAGGCAACAACCGTGTTCATGCCAAATAGGGAAAGTATAGGTCTTCAGCAACCCATGCTTGCCGTAAAAGGTGACTATGCTTGTCGTTAAAGGCGACTAACGGGATCGGGTGGTCAGGCTCGCTGACTTGGTTGATACATGTCATCGATCCCAATTGCGTGGATAGATGCTCATGATATTAATCACTGGATTGACTGGTCCAGACTTGATTATTTACAGACCGCCGTCATATAGCTGGAATATTGCTGAGTGCGGCGTTAAACAACAAACCAACCAACCAAAATCATGCCAAATATCAGCCCTCCTGGTGTCATCAACCACCAAGAATTGTAAGTTAGAATGAGTATCAGTGTCAAGCATCATGTTACTTCACCTACATCCTCTGACATCATGCATATATTTCTGCAGATTAGTACCTACATAGCAACATAGCAACATAACACAAATGTCACAAACAGTGAATATCTCTTGAACCCATGAGAGGAATCCTGCTAAACATAGAATAAATAGCTTCACTATGCAATCTGTGAATGTGCCATCGAGACAGGCGACACTCATGCGGTGATTCAAGTGATTTCAAGAAAATCAATATCATGTCCCATATCTCATTCTATTCCTGTTCCTACAGAAAAATGTGCTAGCTAGGTGAATGATCGCTACTAGGATAAGAGCCGCCTTTTGACCAATCACAAAATCGCCCCTATCATGATACACCAAATCACGTTAATCGATGTGGTTAGTGCAATCCACACAATAATAGTAACCACCAACGTTATCTGTTTGCATGGCATTAACTTGTTGCATTGTGGTACGTCATGGGGCTTACTTGCCAACGCTGACGACACAAGTCGGAGGAAATCTCTCCCGACTGACGTCATAGCTGTGTCTTTGCCTGGTTCCTGGTTATAATCAGAGCACAGGGATGGACTTAAAAGGCAGGCAGGGTTCACGAGTGGGACTGGGGACAAGTTGGGGGCAGAATAAACACAGGGCTAGGGTGTCACCTGACCAAATTAGACATTGTAATTTGGCGATAACATCTTGTTTGTGTGTATGCATGTTACTGACAATTGGGACTCTTTGGTTACTACACTGGGTAAACATAGTATGGCCTCACAACTCAAAAAGGAAGTGGAGAAAGAACTACTGTAAGTTTTTGTTTTTGCTGAGACTTATATGGGTATTTAACAGATTCTTTCCAAATTTGCACACATATGTTAGAGAGCATCATGGACAGTGTACAGTAAGAAGGAATGAATCCTACATGAAGGTACATATGGTAGTAAAGCTAATCCCAAACACAGTCATCAGCTTCTCAGGCTGCCAGTACAAATGTTGCAGACTGAATTCTTCAAAAAGTTGTAAAATTACAGTTTGCAGAAGTAACAAAGGATGTAGCTTCTAATTTAGCCAATATTCATATTTAAGAATGAACTTCCAATGATGATGCTAAGCTGCCTTGAACAAACCTGCCAGTAAGCATTGTAAATAATCGGGTCTAACCACACAAACAAATGACTGATGGGAGTGTTCGAAATTAAGGGGTCCTAGGATGCTTCAGGTTTTCTGCTATATATTTGAATCTTGTAACCACCTAAATTTTGTAATTTTAACTTAGGGTTATGACAAGGACCCCCCAGCTGTCATGCTTGATTTTGAATACTGAATAGTGCTTGCATGCCATTGGGACATGAAGACATAACATCAGTACAAGAGTTGTCTGCCTTAGAGGTCAAGGTTCACCTATTCAGTACCAGTATTATTTTTATACTCAGCAGCAAAAATCCATCTTAGACCTAAACCTCTCAAGAATCCCCATGAGGACAAAACTGCCCATCATGTTCCTAGAAAGCTTCAGCACTGGGTATCATATATCATATACTGGTAGTTACAATACTGTCAATAGTAATCTGTCTGTACACAAACAGTCAACAATTCCAAACCATTCTGCAGGCATCCTGTACAAAGGACTTATATCTCTACTTAGGGTTTTATTAGCTAATCTGACTAGGCCCACAACGCTTCTTAAGACATTGGGCTTGGGACTAGTGGTCAAAGGCAGAGGAATGTGAGTGAGTGAGTGAGTGTGAGAGAGTTAGAGAAAGAGAATGAATTTGACTAAATGCCACTTTAAACAGTATTTCATTTATGTGATGTGTGATGTAGGTCGTTCGTGTGTAAGCACCTTGGTAAAGTCACCAAGCACAGCTTCAGTGCCTCCCTTTGATGGAGATCGCTGCCATGATGCGTTTCTCACCTGGTCGCTGTACCACACCTGGATGCCCTTGATGATCCGATCCTGGCGCTTCAGGATGTTCACCGCCTGGTAGACAGGCATACCTGGAACACATATAGGAATCTTCATCAGCAGTGGAAAAACATTATCAGTCCACTAGTCCTTATTACATAAAGCATATCAAAAGCCTTAAAAATGGTAAATTTCTAATAGTCCTTATGATACCTTAACTATTGGGCAGTTTGGCAAGGACTACAGGACTAGTGCCAATTTCTAATGCTGATCAGATTTTACCTGAACTGAACTATATTAGTCTCAGGCTCCGAACAGCAGCATCAGTGGTGCACACACATTCACATCTTTACATACAATCATACATGTACAGAAAGGAACAAAACCATCATCATGATTATTTTAAAACATGTATGATGTGCTGGACCAGTTTGGACACTTTTTACAGGACTAATACACCATTTTTTATAATAGGGAAAGCAATTTGAAGAAATTTGGACTCAAATAAAAATTTGGAGATCAAGTTTGTTACATGGTTATCATTTGATAAATGGGCAGGTAAAGAGAAAAGATCACTGGCATCCTTCATGTGAAAGACAGTGCATTTTCCATGGAAATAATCATAACTAACAACAATTTTAACCAGGTTACACTAAAAAAAAGGTTAACGCAATGCTAACAAATCCGACATATTATCTGTCAGTTGTGGTTATAACTGATCACCAATTATTTGTTACATGGTTATCATTTGATAAATGGGCAGGTAAAGAGAAAAGATCACTGGCATCCTTCATGTGAAAGACAGTGCATTTTCCATGGAAATAATCATAACTAACAACAATTTTAACCAGGTTACACTAAAAAAAAGGTTAACGCAATGCTAACAAATCCGACATATTATCTGTCAGTTGTGGTTATAACTGATCACCAATTATTTTTTTTAATGGTCACATTTATAGCAGCCTAAACTAAAACTTTCTGTTTTAGTTTTCAGTGTTTGGGTGAAAAACCTTCATACTATGGAGTGTCCGGAAATAAGGGAGTCCTGGGGTCCTTTAGGTTTGCTGCTATAGTATTTGAATCTAGGGACCCTTTACATCTGAAAGTGTCAACATTAGGGTTATGACAAGGAGCCTGTGAGTTTCATGCTCAATTTAGAACCCTGTTATGTATCTCTTCATTTCTCTCACTGTTGAAATTGCTCGTTTAAGTAAATGAGTGAATGTTGTTTTATGCACAGACAGCAATATTCAAGCCATATCACGGCAGCCCATATATAATTGAATCTGGACCTAACAAGAAACAAGAAAAACATGAGCAACAATGCACAACATCAGGGCTTAAAGACATGCATCTTCCCGGACAAGAGAGTTAACTGACTTTAAAAGTCCAGTTTCCACCCTTGCCGAACGAGGCTGGAATTACTGGGCTCGATCGTAGCGCCACCAGTGGCTATTACCAGTTATGTCCCCTCTAAGCCTCTCCACCTCTCGTATCACTTGCGTTTGCTTCACAAAATGGTGGCGCCCAGTCAGGACAATCTGATCGATAAACAAGATCTAGATTTTGATAAAACGGGTCTTACGTCGCGAAATGCATCAATTCACGTGAGCACCTTGATTAAAAACATGAAAAGATTTGGAAAATATCTGCTGACAACGAGTTGGCGGTGCACATGCTTTGCAAATCCTGCAATCGACCGAAATCTGCATGACAGTTGACGAACCGGATTTCGATTTCGGTGGGCGATTTTGATTGGACTATGCATAGACTCGTTAGTCCAGCCAAAATGTAACTCCATAATACCAGCCTAGTTCGGCAAGGGTGGAAACTGGACTTTTATAATCAGTTAACTCACTTGCCTCGGGAAGATGAAAGACATGCAGTCAGACAAATCACCGAGTCTGACCATCCAATCCATTTTAGTCACTTCCTACACCAAGCAGAGATCATGTCGGTCACTGGGGACCAATTCTTCCCCAGAACCCAATGGGGAATAGAAGTCATGATTTAGGGATGAAGGCCAAATGTAATTGTTTCTTGAAGAGAGAAACAATTGTGTGAAATGAAGTCTTGGACAAGGTGAGCTAAAATATAGAGGTTTATCTAGACCTGCTCAGAGGTTGATATTCGACCCTAATTCTGCATCAAATGCAATCTCATTAAAATCAGATCCTAATTCTTGCTATCGCCAAACAAAGATCTGAGGACATCCCATTACGGGTCACGTCAGAACAACCTTTCATCCGACCAATCAAAGCGTCGCTTACCAGATCATGAAAGTGACAGTCGGAATGTGTTTTCTAATCATGCAACCTCAAAAACGTTAATACGGTGTATTCCGAACGACAGTTACGGCCCGTACAACTGATTCCGTCAAAATTATTGTCTATCTCTTGCTTCCGTGGGATAAACATTTAAACAGAGGAGGCGTTTCACAGTATGTGGGAAGCACTGCCATACAATCTCAACCATGTATTAAGACATTCCAGAATGTTTGTTTGTTCAGTTTTCAAAAGTTTAACCGAGAACTATGTCAACTAATTTTTCAAGCGTAGTCTGAAACAGAAGTCGCCAGGTTGAAAAGAGTGCCGTAAAGCTCGAGAAAGCTGCTTTCTTATTGGCTGATGTCGACTTCTTGTCAGTCATTTCAGTTTTGTGAAAGTTTGCGAAAGGTCGTTCTGACGTGACCCGTAAAGGGATGTCCTCAGATCTTTGTTTAGCGGCAACAAGAACTTAGGTCTGATTTTAATGAGATTGCATCAAATGTCAGTAAAAATTTGCAAGTTGTAATAACAAATTTCCCAGTTCATGTTTATATTGTAAAACTAATATTATGGCTTTGTAGAGGTAACTTGTATATCACTAATAACAGGACCAATAAAGAGGAAGAGGCTTAAAATACCTGAGAGGGTAGGAAAAGAACAGCTGTAAAAATATCCCAATTTTGAAAAAAAAGATGATTTCCACCCCCTCTTACATACTGTCAACCCAGCTTTAGTCAGTGAAACCTAAGCACGTCATCAGTATCTTTCAGCAAAGATATTTGTTGAGTTTTTTTCACCAAGTTTTCTCAAAAAGGGATGGGCATTCAATTAAATTACTCTGTATATAACCCAGATCTGTCTTAAATTAGGTTAATAAATATCAACTTCTTGGTCACAAAGTGTGGGAGGGAACACAGCTTTAATACAAATATTCACTACAGCAGTCAGTGGAGAAAGAACCCACCTCATTCCACCAAGTAGTTGACATGTCAATGTGCCCCCTCATCTGACAGTGACAGAGGCAGACAAATTTCAGGGTACCACATAGTCCATAATTTGACCAACCATTTCAGTTACTGACGCAGCAGCAATGATGCAGATGTTTTTGTTGCATCACAGTCATCCTGGCTAGGTTTCATATGACACCTTGTATTAGTTCACTTTCAAGCATTTTTTATAGAACTCTACCTCACATTCTGAATGATTAACACAATAAGCTCAAACCAATAAGCATTGACTTCTAGTAAGTGTTGGAATTATACAGAACTCAATGATTGGTGTCAGCACATGTCTGGTAATGTTTGATGTGCATGTGCATGTGCATGTGCATGTGCATGTGCATAGGTAACACAATCCAGCTGTGTCACAGAGGCTCCCATCAAGTTATTGTTTGCCTGTATATAGACAAATTGCTACGCATATTCTTTTCTTTTTTTCCCCTAATGAAATACACTACATACACAGTTCTACCAAATATCCATGCAGTCAATTTGCACAGTGCATTCATAAATAGTTTGCTAAAGATAAATATCACATATAAATAAATGCCTGTTGCCTAACATTTTTCACAAATTTGGATAAAAAAATAATAATAAAATTATCGTGGTCAAACATGTTTGAGGAACAGGTCCTGAGAAAGACAGGATGTCAAGTATCACTGCATGCATAACAAGGAGGAATCTATATCTTGATGTTTCAGTCAATGATGAGTTTCACGTCAAACATGTCACATAAGATCCAAGAACATTTTTCTGCCCAAAATAAGAATTATAAATACTGCCAGAATAGACACAGACAGAGACATAATTGGATATAATATTGTCTTGAGAGATATTAACCATTCTAAAGAATAAGCACTGGACAAAATACCAAGAGGCAGGATTGTTAGAAATTGTGAATTAGTATTTTCAAAATGCCTGTTGATTTTATGTTTTCATCTCTTAAGGTCTTGAATTAACATTAAAACTGATAACACTAGTATCGCAGGGGTGTGGGGTGTGTGTGTACCATATTTTCTTGAGTATAGTGCACACTTTTTAAAAAAACAACACAGCTGTGTAAGAGGGGGTGCACATTATGCTCGCCATAATGAGTTTTGATGTCCTCCCAAACGCAAAGACATTACTGTGCGCATGTAACATTGAAAATACCTTGTCAACAAATCCATACTGAAGTACGCAAATTAATCATGTAATTACACTACAAGTGTTCATTGTATATCTGGAAGTATGTTTGTAACCTTATTCAATTAATTTTATTCAAAATTCCTTTTAATATTGTTTTAATTAATTTCGGCGAAATCATGTGTGAAGTGATCAGAAGGTCACACAACTCATCGTTATAAACAGCAACCACGGTCAGATTACCGCTACTGATGCCTTGAAACGAACTTTAGTCGACAGCGAATGGATACATATATCAAAAATGCCATACTTTGACTCATTAAAAGTCATATTTGTTGTAGTTTGACGATTCTATGTCAATACATAGTTCTCGCGTTCACGTGCGTGGGAGCCTCGACGGTAACTGGTCCATTTGTTCCATGTGAAAAAAATAATAACAGGCAATAGCGATCAGCTGCACTGAAGTGCTATGCTTAGGGTTATTATTATCTTGAATATATTTAGTAAAATCTGCAACTAAAATAACAAGACATTGGAATTTATTATTCCTGATAAAAAAATAGTTTCAGATACAATTTTCCCGATCCTTGCTTCAAAGTCCCAAAAGTTATATCATTGGGTAAGTTTAAACCGAATCACCAGTAGATTCCAAGAAAACGTGTGTACAGCTGATTGCTGTTTCCGGCTTAGTTTAAGAGAAAA